CTGTCCGCAAGGTGGAGCAACTTTGCTGTACATTCCTTTGCCTTGAGACACTACAACTAGGCTTGGCCAGGATACTTTGGCTGGCACAGTTCCCCTATCAGCCCCTGGGTCTTTGGGACTTGGGTACCTTCTCCAATGCCCTTGGCTGGGGAGATGGACCTCGGGAGCCCAGCCTATGTTTGCCTTTCATCACATGCCCGGCAGGAGGACGTGTTCATGGGGGTTCTGGCTGGGATCAGTGGTAGTGAACACTGCGGAGAGGAGGTTTGGGGGATATAAAACTTGAGTCCCCTGGGACCCCCCACTCCCAGCAGCCAGAGTTTTTTTGCTGGTACATTGTTCTAATGTGAGGGGAAGAGATCGCACTGTCTGCTCCCGTTTTTGCCAGGGGAAGGGTCCTCTCTGAATGGGATCAGGACTTCCCTCCCCTGTTGGTTTGGATCTGTTCTGGCCTGACCAGAGAGGCCTGTCCATCACCCCCACCCCAGAGAGCTTCTTCCTGTCCAGGGTGCCCAAGAGGCCCAAAGGAGTTTCCAGGTTCAATCTGTTAGTTGAGGCCTGTTGTGCATCAGGGATTCTTTCCCCTTCTACCTCTCCTGTGGGCACAAGGGAGCCAGAGCCTTTTTAGAGAAGGACCAGGGACAACCTTTGCCAGCCAGCCTGAACCGGTTCACCAAGACAGTTGCTTTAATCCTGGGCCTGATGTGGTAGATCAGGTGGCCAGGGGATTGTGATGTACTGATTGGCTCTACTGCTTGCCTCCTTGCTCCTGGTCTCAACCCAACAGGCAGCACCTGTGCTGTGTTTCTCCCAGCTACAGGGCTGCTCACTCCCAGCACTGCTGCCTGGAGGCAGGGTTAGAACTGTGGGCCATCTGACCTGGTGCTCCACCTGCATTTGGCCTGCTGCCCTCCTGTTGAGCACCTGATGGCAAGGACTCTCCTGCTGGAGCAGCCCACCTGCTCACAGAAGGTCAGACCCCTGCCTTCCTCCAGGGAGTCTCTCTTCCCCTGCACAATCCATCAGGAACTTGATGGCAGCTGGTGTGAATTTCCCTTCCTCACGGTAACTGTTCTAGTTTTTCCAGCTGACCCTCTTAGAACAGTGTTTCAATCATCCCACCTCCCCTCTTCCTCTGTGTCGTGGGTAGGTCACTTCATCTCTGCATTGACACAGAGATAAGATGCCCACCTTTCCAGCTACTTGGGCCCTGGCCATCCAGCCATACATGGTGGATATGAACACCCTCTGGGTGGGGCCTGGCCATTGCCAGGGGAGTTGAGGCAGCTGCAGGTCTCCTGGCTTAGGAGCTGTCCCCCCATGCACTGTCGACTAGCCCTCCCCAGAAATGCCTTTCAGGACTGTCTGTCCTTTACTCTGGTTTGTTTCTGTTGTGTCTGGAAGCTGGACAGGGGGACTTGTTGTTTAGTGACATTGGGGGTAGCAGGCATATGATGGCTCCCTGGAAAAGTGACTTCCTGTCAGAAGTGTGAGGTTCTCTAGCTTACATCCCCTGACTTCTCTCACGCCTTACCTCAGGGCTAGCACATTTCTGCAAAGGAGATCAGACCCCAGTTTGCACAGTAAGAAGCCGCACAGAATCCTGGGATACTGCTACTCACCCACTCCCACCTCTTTGCTTTTATATATGGGTAACCTGAGAGCTATGTGACTTCTCTGCGGTCACTACTGGACAGGCTCCTCCTGCCCTGTGCCCTGTCAGTGAGGGCCCATCTCAGGCTTTGAGCAGAAAGCTAGGCTAGTGTAACAGCCGTCCACTGAGGACACTGCCCATGACTGGCAGCCCCTGGGCTCTGCACGGTCAGCCCTGCTCTTGTGGGCCTGAAGCTCTAACTTCACCACCATGTCACCTTCAGACTGAGGCATACCAGGCTTCTTGAGAGCACACATACTACTTGTCTCCAAAAGGACAGATCTTAAGTGCCCTGCTGACTTGAGCATAGTACCATTCCCTCTGGTCAGCCAAATGAGGCCCTTCTCTGACCAAGTGGGACAGGCTTGCACAGGATGGTGGTCCCCTCTGTTCTGGGACCTTCGTGCCATTACCACTCCTCAGGTTTCCAGGCATCTCATCCTTAAAGGAATAATTTGCTCATGGCTCAGAAGTGGTCCTGCTTCCCTCCCCTCCGGCTTCATTTGTACTTGGTCTGGCTTTTCAACCTGACTGGCACTTTGCCCACATGGACTAATGTAGCCCAGTGGAGCCACTCCTTAAAAGAGGAAGTGGGCAGGAGGTGGGTGGGTAGGGAGAGCTTTCTCTCTTCTATGCCACACCCAAAGACCCAGGGGGAGGGGAGAGATGGCTGTTAGTGAGAAGTGGTGTGGGGACTCCGGGTCCATCTGAGAGTCAGAACCCAGGGCAGGGAAGGGACACTGAGGCCGAAGCTTCCCTGCAGGGAAGACAGGGTTTGTTGATCAGACCTTGGGCTACAAGGTGGTGTCCTCCAGGGCTTGTGAAGTTGGAAAGCTGCAGACTCATGCCTAGAGGGCCTGGTCTCCACTCTGGAAGAGGTCGGTCCACACCAGTGGTGGGCCATGCATGTGGATGGCTCCAAGGCTTCTCTAGACTGCCAACTGGGAGCTGAATTAGCCAGCTGGACTTGGCCATCCTCACTCAGCAAACTGACCCAGGGTTGCCCATGGGATTCCATCTGCACTGTGCACAGAAGTGGGGCTGTTGGGCATGGTTGTTCTCCCCTAAGAACCTGGGGTCCTCTTTGCGTGGCTGTTGGTATTTGTCCATTCAAGCTTAGCCCTATGACTGAGCAGAACAGGCCCACCAGGAAAGAGGCAGGAGAGTGGGGGGCAAGCTGAAGGGTCTTGTTCTTAAAAAAGGAAAGAGGCACATTCCAGCGGGTCCCCGGCGTCTTCCCAGCGGGCTATTTAAAGCAAGACCAACAGAGTGCCTGAAGCCTGCTGCCCAATATAACCAGCAGCCGTCAGGTGACCCTGTGGCATGTGTCCCAGCCATTATCTTGGAGGGAGCTGCATGTGTTCCCAGCTGTGGCCAGGGGAATGTGGGAGCCCTGGGACTAGCCCCTATTGCCGCTTTACCCTCCCAGGTTTGGGGGAAGAAGGCAGGGAGGCCAAGTGGAGTTGAGAATTATGTATTTTCTTAGTCTTTCTCAGACTCACCAAACTTTTTTAACTGTACTTCCTGCCTGAGAACCAGAGGAACTAGAGCCTCTCCCACCCCCAAGCTTGTTAGTGCCTCAGTCCTGACAGCCCGCAGGACAGAGAGGGAGGCTGGCAGTGCTGGAGGGACTTGGCAACAGCCTTTGTGTGGCATCTCCTGGCAGAGAGAGCCTTGCCATGGAGCAGACTGGCATCCTGCAGGCCAGACAGCTGCCACTTGGTACCAGGGCTTGTCTGTTTCCTCCTCAGAAAACTGATAGTCCAACTCCAGGCTGCCCCGTGGAGGACAGGCAGTGTGTGCATGCCTGATAAGCACAGTGTGCTCAGGGCCCCGAGGACCTTCTTGCTCAGTCCCCGTTGTTTTGTCATGGTGGGCTTCAGCCACCCTTGCCCTGTGGGGCATTATCTTGTTTGAGAAATGGTTCCAGTGAGAAATAACCAACAGTTGTGGGAGATTTGTAGGGTCCAGAGGCCAGCAGAGTGGAGACACTTGGTGTGCACCGTGCTGGACATTCAGCCCTGGTTCTGATTTGAAATAGAACATAGGCACTAGAACCTTTGGCAGTTTCATTGCCCCAACCCCAGAGCTTCCCAGGACAGGAGGCGGACTTCCTGCCATCCACTTTCTGTCCCTGCTTGGATTGCTAGAAGAACCTCATCCACCTGTGTCCAGTGGATGTAGGGCACCTGCCTGTTGGGGTATCTTAGAGATAAGACACACCTCACCATTGTGCCCTTCCCTTCCCTGACCTGATGCCTCAGGTACACCCTGGCCTCCATTCAGTCCCCTCCCTTTGCCACATGCCTCCAGTCCCCAAGCTAGGCAAAGCCCATGGCCTCTTCCTAAGCCCAGGACACTTGGCCTGATCTTTGCTTTCCACTTTTCCCTGGATTGTTTTTCTTTCTTGCTAGATGCCAACTTGTTTGCTTTGGGAAGAACCATCTAGGGGTGTGGGGGACTTTAACTCTGATGTGAGGACAGGGAGGCAGAAGGGGTAAGTAGCCTCTACTTGTGGAGCCCTTCCCAGGAGGGAAGTGCTCAGTGCTGCCTGAAGAACCAGATATCTGTCTCAAGGTCACAGCATCTCTGTGGTGCCACAGGGATCTGAATACCTGTGGTCCCTCCCTAGCCTCACACCTTTCATAACCATCTCCCAGCCCAATCCTGAGTTTAGAATCGGGTGTACATGGCCGTGGTTCAGTGTTCAGAACTCATTGCCAGAGGGAGATCTGGGGGCTCCTGGGGATCTAAGTGGGCCCAGGGACACCTCCTTGGGCCAAGCCCTAGGTGGGAACATCTGTTATTGAGTGGGCCAAACCTCCAAAAGAGATGGCAGCTGTTGTTCTTGTCCAGGACACAGGTGGGCAGAGCTGCTTGAGGTCCTGCTGCCTGCCCGGGGGGCTGTGAACGGGCTGGACATACCCTGCCCTGTGCCTCCTCCACTAGGGGAACCCACGAGGGGAGGACTCGGGCCTAATCCTGGGGAAAATGGGGGCTCAGCGGGCATGCGTGGCGGGGCAGCCAAATCCCTCTCCAAAGCCCACTGAATAGAAAAAGCTTAAACTGACTTGCAGAGTCAGCAGCCTGGGCCCTCTGCTGCACAGCAGGCGGCAGGGCAGCACTTGGGGCAGAGGCCCCCACCCTACCCTCACAAAGGTCCCAGGGGAAGGGAGAGCCCAGGTGCACAGGAGACGTCGGATTTCCCTGTGAGGAGGTGACTAGACGCGTTCCAAGACTTTCCTCTCCCTGTTTGTGGTAGATGTGGCCCCCCACCCCAGTGCAGGAGACCCTGGCTGTTCCCTTGTCTTCCTTTCCCCCCTTCTCTGTGGCCAGCACCACTTACCTGGAACGTAGCTGTTGGGGAGGCGAGAAAGGAAGCCCGGATCAGGGTGTCTGCGTGCCTCCCCTCGGGCCCCTGGCCACCACCTCGTATCTCTTTCGTGCACACCGTTTCCCTGGCCCTCCGCAGCTCTCCTGGGCACTTCTCAGCACAAGCTCCTGGAGCCTGGAGCTCCTCCTTGAGGCTGACAGCCAGCTGCTGTCCGACAGCCTCGGCTTTTCTGTTGTTGGTTGTCCTGGAGATGTAAGTGTCAAATTACCGTCGAGAGGGGGAGCCAGAGGGAACCCTCTCTGGAGCTTGTCCTGCAACTTCTACCCAGTGGCTTTCCTTGCTGGGGAAGTGGGCTTTGGGATCCTCCGCCTCCTCCTCCTCTTCCTCTCCCCTCCCTCTAGCCAGTGGGCTGGGCCTGGTTGGCTGATGACAGGTGCTGGGCTCTGGTTCTGAGTAGATGACCCAGGGGCTCATCCTCTGCCCTCAGGGAAAGAGAGTGGAGCAGTTTTCCCTGCCCTTGGGCTCCCCACTGCCGCCCTCAGGAGTGTTATTCAGGCCTGTGTCCCCAACTCCCACAATTTGTACCTTGAGCCACTGTTCCTCCCTTTGGCCTCTCTGAGGAAAGAAAGTAAATAGTGAGGGACTGCTGGGCTACCCCAGCAAACAGGCAGGCGTTGCCAGCAGGCCACCCAACACCCAGAGGTGTCTTGGGAAGTCTTTGGGAATCCTGGTGTCCTGGGAGTGGTCTGCTTGCCCTGTGAGGGACATCGAACTCTTCTTAAGAGGAAGGACACTGCTGATTTCTTTCTGCTTAGCTTTCCCCCACGGACTCCTGGCCCAGCTGTCAGGGATTGGCCCCAGAACCCAGTGGCTGGGGCCCTCTGACATTTGGCTGGTCGTGCCACCCAGCAGACCAGTCTCCTGGGAGAGAAACTGACCCTAGCCCCGCAGTCAATGGAGCTCTTTGAATCTGAACACAAAACCCCAGTGAGTCAGGGCTTGGGGGGTAGGGAGGAGGCAAACCGCTGTGGCCACACCACTTGAATGCCTGAGCCTCCCAGAGACAGACAGGCAGTCACTGTATAGACAAGGGGACTCAAGTGGAGGTAATATGTGTCATATTCATCCAGGGCTGGCAGGAGTGGGCATGAGAGCGCCCTCTGGTGGCAACCTCTGCTGTCTGGCTGCTCCTATCTACCTTCAGAGCTGTGTCCTCTTGGCTAGAGGGTGACCTGACCCTACTGTTTTGGGGGCTGGTCACATTCAGCTTTTGTTCCTTGAGACTGCCGTTTGAGAAGACTTCTGGCTAGAGCATCTGGCACCAGCTATTCTTATCCCTGCGATTGGTGCCCCAGACAGCCCTGCCTCTGCTCCAGCATCCCCTTTTGGGCTCTTCTACCCTGTGCTACCTTCTCAGTGGCAGGAATGGCTATTGTAACTACCCTGATAAAGCTATGGTTCCTTCCAGGGCCTCTGTACCTGCCTGAGGGTTGGTGGGGCCTCAGTCTGGGGATTGGAGCAGAAATAGACCCTGCTGGGCCAGATGGAAGCTGCTGTCTGTTCCTAGCTTGGGCAGTTACCCCAAGAGGGCCAAGACAGGGTCAAGGCAGTGGGGGTGAGGAGGGGACTCCAGTGAAGCCACATCTCCTTAGCTGAATGGTCACCAGTGAGTCGGTACAGTGCCGGCCCTCAGAACCACCTGCTTGCCAGCTCTCTCGATAGTTACGCCTTGTGCAGCTCCCAGTCTCGGCCTGGGTACAGTAGGCTGGGACACAGGCTTATCAGGGTCCACAAGGAATAAGTCATCAAGAGACAAGCAGAGCAGAGTGTTGAGGCTGGAGTGGGGCCCTCTCCTACTATTCCCTCCCCTTCTGACCCAGAGAAGGGTGGGAAGTAATATTGTATCCTAATGCCCTTCGGAGCATCCCTTCTCAGTCCTCACACAGCTTGAGGCCAGCGTCCTGCTGCACCATTTTATTGAGAACCTGTAGGTTTTAAAGGTGAGATGATTACCCAGGGACACAGCCTTGATGGCAGGGCCAGCATCTGTATCAGAGCCTGAACTCTTCCAAGGGCACCTACTGCCGGAGGATAGGGTCCCAGGGGCCAGAGGAGTAATAGACAGAATAGGGCTTATATCCTTGCTCTTGGGGTACATATATAGATATGACCTTGGAAAAGCTTCTTCCCTCACTGTCCCCAATTATACAATGGGCAAAATCAAATATGTCTTGTGAGGCCCCCATGAGGGCATGTGTGAGATGCCAAGTGTGGTGCTGGACAGTGACAGTCAGCCAGTTTTTGGAGCTGGGGTAAGCAAATGCTAGCTTGCCTGGGTCCTCATCTCTTATCCCTCATCTCTTCTGTATTGCCTGCTCCAGGTGCCGCCATGCTGCCATTGCCAAGTACTTTGGGGATGCTCCGCCTGCCTGCACCAAAGGTTGCGACTACTGTCAAAACCCTGCTGCTGTGCGGAAACAGCTGGACGCCTTGGAGCACAGCAGCAGCTGGAGCAAGACCTGCATCAGGCCCTCCCAGGGGAATGGCTTTGACCCTGAGCTGTATGAAGGAGGTCGCAGGGGCTACGGGGGCTTTAGCAGGTCAGGAGCCATGAAGCCAGAGGCCCCCCAACCCATTGGAAATAGTCTGTCATTCTCCTGGTGCTAAGGCCAGACATGGTAGTGCTGTGGTTTACCCTCCTGCCCTATGGACTAGGTTGGGGCCTGGATCTCAGTGTTGCCCCAAGCTTCCAGGGCATGAAGGACATCGTTGTTCCACCAGCAGCCTGAGTGGTCAGGACAGAACCTCAGTCCTGAGTTGCTCACAACCAGCCTTTTTCCTAGGTATGATGAAGGTTCGGGAGGCAGTGGTGATGAGGGCAGAGATGAGGCCCACAAGCGGGAATGGAGTCTCTTCTATCAGAAGCAGATGAGCCTGCGCAAGGTGAAGGAGGTGGGGACTCAGCAGGGAGTCAATGACCCATGCAGCATCCCAGGTGGTCCTGTCTTCACCCTCTAACACCCTTCCCTGGTCCTGGGTGGGAACTGTCCTACAACAGAGCAGGATGCCTCATAGGCCCTTTATGCCGTCTTCCAGGGCAAAGACCCCAAGATAGAAGAATTCATACCCCCAGGTTGGTACAGAAATGTTTCCAGGGGCTTATGGGCTGTGCCCTGGGTTTGGATGGTGGTTGCCTTATTGGGGTCTTCAGGGACTCCAGAGAGCAGGAAGTTGAATGGAAGAACCCATCCTTCCTCTCCCCAGATGAAGATTGTCCCCTGAAAGAGGCTTCTAGCAGAAAGATTCCTAGGCTCACTGTGAAGGTAAGAAAGGGGAAAGTCCTCACCTGCCCCCCAGGACTCTCCCCTGAGGCCAGGTGACAACTCCCCTCTCCCTACAGGCCCGTGAGCACTGCCTGGGTCTCCTGGAGGAGGCTCTGAGCAGCAACCGCCAAGCCACAGGTTCCAGCAATGGGTGAGTGTCCTGAGATCTATGGGGCCAGAGCAAGAGCCAGCCTTGGGGACAGAGGAGATCTCTGAGCACTAGTTCCTCAGGAGACTCTGGGCAAACCCCACCCCCAGGCTCATTTGGGCAGCCCCTCGTTACACCTGTCCTACTTCAGAGTCACCCAGTCCCTACAGCCGCCCCCCAGGGGGCAGGTGTGACCACACTTAGGGGCTGCCAGTGTCTGCTGAAGACCTGTAAGCCATAGGGTACCCAGAAAGTCCTGGTTGGAATCCCTGGGCCTATCCCCACCAGGTCCTGAAGGTACCCTGCAGTCTCTGTGTAGGGTCCAGCAGGAGATCCCAGGGAGAGGTCTTGGGCCCACCAGATGCCTTGTGTTCATTCCTACCCTCAGAACAGAACTCCAGGCCCAGGCCGTGCAGCTAGAATATGAGACATTCCGGAATGCCAAGATGGCCAACCTCTACAAGGCCAGCGTGCTGAGGAAGGTGGGCCCAGGGCAAGGGGCAGGTGGGCAGGGCACATTCACTGGATCAGGGTAGGAGAGGGCAGGCTATCTGCTAGCCCGCTGGCCCCAAGAGCCATTTATAAGAGGAGAGTCTGGCTTTCTGGGCCAGCTGGAGATGTTTTTAGCCAACTCTGTAAGGACTGCAACTTGTCCAGTGTCCAATTTCTTCTTGTACCTCATGGGAAAGGAAGACCTGGGCTAGGAATATAGAAGGAGCCTGTAGGTACCATGACCTCCCTGTCTGTCCCTGCCCAGGTAGCTGAGATCCACAGAGCCTCCAAGGATGGACAGCTCTATGACGTGGGAGGTGATGCCAAAAGCTGCAGTGCCCAGGCTGAGCCCCCAGAGCCCAATGAGTATGACATCCCACCAGCCTCCCATGTGTACTCGGTGAGTGACACTCTGGTGTGTGTCCACCCCAAACTTGGGCCCAGGAAAGGCCCCACTTCTTTGCCCTCAGTAGGGCACATCCTCTTGCACTCTCCTGGGATGCAGCCCTGGCCCTGGGTCCCCTGGAACATCTCTGCTATGCTAGCTGTGCTTTTGCCAACTACAGCCTCTTCTCCCATCAGCCTGACTCCCAAATGATGTCCTGTGCAACTCCCAGGGTCTTGAGAGCCCCACCCCAACAGCCATAGCTTGGAGCAATCAACAATACCCTCCAGGGGACCTAGAGGTCTGAGCCTTTCCTCTTCTTCCTTACAGCTCAAAGCCAAGAGGGTGGGAGCTGGCTTCCCTAAAGGCTCCTGCCCATTCCAGACAGCCACTGAGCTGATGGAGAAGTCTCGGACTCAGGAGTCTTCCCAGCCTGTGCGGGGAGATGAGCAAGAACCCCCCAGCCAGCCCTCTGGCATCCAGGATAAGGATGTGAGTGAGGCCCTCCCTGGGCCCAAAGGAGAAGACCCTGGAGGTAGTGCTCACTGTGCAGGGCCCTCTGCTGAGAAGGTGAAAGCCTCTTCCAGGAGAAGTTCAAATACCAAAGCCCGGGCCAGCAAGAAGCAGCAGCTCCTGGCCACAGCGGCCCATAAGGATTCCCAGAATATTGCCCGCTTCTTCTGTCAAAGGGCAGAAAACCCACCTCCACTCACCACAGCCCCAAGGGCAGATGGTGCCAGCCCTTCCTGTGGGAGAAAGCAGGAACCTCTGATGACTTCAGAGAAGTACACAGAGGAAGAAGATGGACTCCGGGGATATTTGATGGACCCTCCTCAGACTGAGGCATGTCCCAGTGAGGGGCCAAGGTAAGGGCACAGGGAGGGGCGGGAGTGAGGGCACAGTAGTCATGGGGTCCTATGGACTTTGCCTGGCAGCATCCCCTCTACTAACTGGGCTTCTGAAGCTCTGATGAATCTGTTGGGCTGAGGAACACCTGGCCCTGGAGCTCTGATGTTGCTCTTCCCTCTGGCCAGCACCTGCCCTCTCAAAGACCAGGGGTTCCCTGAAGCCCAGCTCATCTCCCCAAAGAAGACACAGATGGGCAAGCGGCCCAGATCCCAGCAGGTATCATCAAGGAAGAAGTACAGGGGAATGGAGGAGGCCTGTGGACAAGACCAGGAGTTCTGGTCAGGGGTTCAGGAAAATCATTACTTCTTTCTATACCCCAGGGGCAGATGGGACAAGCTAGAGGGAGCCACCTGGTGCTAAGGCACAGTCTTCCAAAAGGAGGGGTAGGAACCAGTGAAAGGGAACCCAAGAGTGACCTCTCACTGTTGTCCTGTCCAGGAGAACCCAGGGAGTCGGGCTCAAAAGAGACCTCGCCCCCAAGCCAAGCCCTCCATCTTAGCAGAGGTCAGGGGCAGTGCCTTGGGCAGTGAACAGGGTACCTTGAATGCCCTGGCCCAAGACCCCTGCCAGCTGTCAGCTCCTGGAATCTCCTTGAAGGAGGCTGCAGATATTGTGGTCAGATACCTGACCCCCTTCTACAAGGATGGCAAGTTTGCATCCAAGGTAGGGTGAGAAGGGGAGCTTTGCCCTCTCCAGGCTTAGGGTAATGGGTGGTTGGGGTGGGTGCCCCAGAACCAAGTGGGGCAGAGCAGGCTGAGCCTTCAGCCAACACCCAGCATCTGCCCCCCCTGGGCCTGCCTTGGTCATGGGCGTGGGTGGCTCCAGGGCTTGGGGCAGGTTCCTGCACTCTGTTCTGTTGCCCCTCTACCTTCTAGGAGTTGTTTAAAGGCTTCGCCCGCCATCTCTCACACTTGCTGATCCAGAGGACCTTTCCTGGAAGGACTGGTGAGCACCATCATGGCCAGGGTTGGGAGGTGGTGCAGGAGTTCTTTGAGTAGGAGATTGGGCCTTACTTATTACAAACTCCTGCCCCAAATCTGCAGTGAAGGAAGAGGCCCAGAGCCTCATCAAGCAGTTTTTCCATGGACACACCCGGTGCGAGAGTGAAGCTGACTGGCACAGCCTGTGTGGCCCACAGACATGACCCCACCACTGGCTGGACAGGGCCAGCATCCTGCCCGGACTCCATCATGGACCAGCCTCGGCCTCATGCAGAATTGGGCAGCTGTGCCAGCCTGCTGGTGCCTGGGGCACCATCTTTCTCGGGGTCGTTCCCACTTCTAATCACACCTTGCTTTGGAGATGGCCCCAGACCCTCTCAAATCTAGTCAGAGGCCAGAGGTTTGCCCAGCTTTCTGCCTGCAAAGCTTGTGGCTTTTTTTAGAGCCTCCTTGCCTCTCCTGACCCTCATGGCTGGGTTTTCTGGGCCAGATCCCCAGGTTAGAAGGGGAGGGTGGTGTGACTGCTACAAGGTTAAGAGGAAGAAGAAAGGGTCCTCTATCTTGTACTTAATAGGATGGGTCTCAGCCAGGAGTGAAGCCCTCCTCTCCAAGGTATTGGGCCCTCCCAGGTGCTCCACACCCGCTTCCCTTGAGATTACAGGTACAGTGCTATGGGGAGAGGGCAGCTGCCAGGCCCCCCCCTGCTAAGCTCCTAGTCAGGAAGGACAGGCCTAACTGAGATGTTGACAAGAATAAAGTCCTGTTTGTCAGCCCATGGCACGTGCACACACACACACACAGGTCTTTCCTCAGGAGTTTTATTTCCTCAGCAGCTGCTTCTTCCAGGCCTAGGTTCATGCTGACATTGAGCCTGGGTGGCAACATGGGCCTCTCCTCCAGGCTGGGCAACATCAGATGCCTGGACTGAGTTCCTACAGCTCTTCCCTTCCCCAAGCCCACCCTGGAGGGAGTGTGGCTATTTTTATTCCCAGTTGAAGTCACTGTGGCGTCCCCTGCCTCAGCCTTCACCTGGGCCAACCAGGCTATTCTGTGGTGGGTTCCAGAGCAGAGTCAAACCGGAATGACCTGTAAGGCGGACCATCTGGAAGAGACCTGGGCCAGGCAGAGGCTGCTGCCTCTTCTGTCCAACCCCAGGCCCTCAGTTGAGGCCAGGCCACTAAGTGGAAGATATACTGTCATCCAACAGGAAGATGATGGTGTTCTGTAGCTCCTGGGCCTGCTTGGGCAGAGGCACGTCAGCATTGGGCTCCCTAGCCAGCTCCCATCCGCCCCTGCCCACACCACTCCTGAGCAGTGGGCACTGCTCACAGTGCAGTGGGTCCCACTGCACACCAGAGCTGGTTGGAGGCACTCATCCTCCTTCCAAAGGGTGACTGAAGCCCTGGCCACTCACCTGTGGCAGCTCCAACCAGATGGTCTGAGGGCTGTCGGCCAAGCCATAGTTGAGTTCCAGACCAGGGGGCCCTTCCTCCTCCAGGGGACTCAGCAGGCGGAGCCGCTGCAGGTCCTTCAGGGCTATGGAGCAGCACAGTTTCTGGGGATTATAGAGATGGCAAAGCTTGGCTCTTCTGGGGTGGGGCTTCAATCCATAGTGGCAGAGGAATGGCCCTTGAATCCTGGGCCAGCACCAGGGCAGGAGCTTTGCCCACCTGGGAGCTGGGGTCCATGAGGATGAGGTGCCTGCGGTTGAGCCCCAGGAGGGCAGGTCCTGGGAGGACTAGCTTGCTCACTCGAAGCACTATGTACACAGTGTAGCCAAAGAGGGGCAGCTGACTTGTGGCCTCTGTGAGTGGAGAGGGCCAGGGCAAGGGTTCTGACTTCAGGGGCCAGGAGCCTTCCCTGCTTTGTTCCCTGGGGCAGGTAAGGGCAGGCAGACCCCTCTAGCCTCCACCCCATGACCTCCTTGCACCAGACCTACCAATGAAGCTGATCTGTGCTTCCTGGGGGCTGTGTCCTTGTAGCTGCCTGAGCTCCTGACCCATCAAACTCTCTATAGTTTCCATATTCACCTGCCATTGTAGAGGCTTTGGTATATAAGCCAGTAGGTCCTGCCTAGGGTACAGAGCTGAGGTCAGTCAATCCCACCACCAATGACCATCTGGTGTAGGGCTGGGCATATGGTGCCAGGTAATAGTGCCTACTGTGGGTAAGACAAGAGATCATGCACATGAATGAGGTGAGGGCCTCACCCTGGAGAAACTTGGGGTGGGGTAAAGAGGTCAGATATCCACTGCCTTGGCTGTTCAGGCCACTCTGAGTAGGGCCAGGAAGGGTTAGTGGAGTGACCGTCGCCTTGGAAGAGGGAGGGGGCTAGGGTCTGGAGGAGAAGCTCAGGCTGGTGCTGAGGTGGGTGGGGACACAACAGGTGTGGGGGCCAAGCTCACACACCCTGAGGGGGGGCTCTTGCTGGCCCTCCCAAGATGCTGAAGGGCAGCCAGCCGGGCAAGTTGGTGTTCTGCCTGGGCGCTGGCCATCAGCTTCCCCTGTAGGTAGTCCCGCAGCACCTGGTGGGAGCAAGGCCATGAGGGGGGGCAGCCTAAAGACCCCAAGAGCTCAAACCCTTTCTGCCAGCAGCCCCTTCTAGCTGCCATAGATCCAGATCCTCGTGGAGAAGGGCCCTAGATGTTGCCCAGGAAGACTCCGCCCCCAAGCTGTTGCAGCACTGGATAGCAGCCCCAGGGGCGGGGACTGACCTGGCCATAGTGGGTGCTGATGTAGGTGGGATGATTGAAATGCAGTGGGGTCTCCCAGCCCAGCCGCCGGCTGTGCAGGCTCACATCCTGGTGCACCATCACTCCGTTGAGGTACTCGTGGGGCCACAGGGGACGAACCAGCTCACCTACATGGGGAGCAGAGGTCAGAATTGCCTACAGCCCACCCTGCCACCCCAGCACAGAAGCTACCTCCTGTGAGCAGAATGGCCCCCAGGTGAGGCTTCCTCCCCAGACCCAGCCTGGCTGCTCTTCCCTTTTCTCCCTGGACTCACCTTCCCCTTTGATGAGAAAGAGGGCAAATTCTTCCACCTCCTGGGGGTCCCTGATGCCCATCTGCCCACACAGCTCCTCCAGCACTTCTCCTGCCACCTGTGCACGGTGATGGGACTGTGATGATGGGGGAAGGAGGCTGGGAGCCCAGAGCTGAGGCCCAGGGCCTCTTCCCTTGGCCCCCCTGCTTACCGTGAACATGTGGCCATTTGTCCTATAATTCACACCGCCAGGCAGGTGGACCACAACAAGGCGGACTGCATGCCCTTTCTTGTGGAAACAGAATGTAGGCTGAGTAACCAGCAGTCCCATACTGCCCCCTAACCCAGGGAAGCCACAGAAGGCATCCACCCACTCCCAGTACCAAGAAAGCCTTCATTTCAGCCATGGGGGGCAGCTGTTGACGCCCCCCATACTTGACTGTTCGCTGGAGGTGCTCCTGGCTGGTCCGGGCAAGCTCTGCAGAGGGGCCATGGTGAAGGAGGTCACGTGTGTCCAAACCCCTCCCCAGCCAGTGGGTTCCCAGCCTCCAAAGCCCCTTCCCCTTCCATTCCCACCAGCACCTTGGCTGGGGCCTGAGTCCTGCAGGAACTTTGTCACATAGGGCATGAGCGTGGTGGATGGGGGGAAGAAGCCCGAGAGGAGACTGAGGAAGCTCCAGCCCCGAGCACAGTGCTCCCTGTGGGACAGAAAGCCTGGGCTGCAGGTGGCTGGACTACAGTGCCATACTGCCCCCCCTGAGGTCCCCACCCCTGTGCCCACTCACGGCTGGGGGTGTCCTGTGACCTGCTTGATGACCTGGCAGTACATCTCATCCCTGAGGTCCTCCTTGCTGCACAGCTGTGGAGACAAGAATGGCAAGTAGGCAGGCCCACAGGGTGAGGGATGCGTGGGGTCTAAAGTCAGGAAGAGATTCTGCTATGGTCCCAGGCAGGGGCCCAATCAAGGTGACCTCCCAGTGGTCACCTCTCTGTCTCAGCAGCTGGAAGCATATGAACAACTGTGTGTGTGTGTGTGTGTGTGTGTGTGTGTGTGTGTGTGTGTTGCTGGGGATGGAACCCAGAGCCTCCTGAGGTACCATATCCTAACCCTGGTCACCTTCTTTAAATTGCTTTCTTTACCTGCTTCTCTGGTCTGTTGGTCATCTTTGCTGGATCCACCTGTCTCCCTGGCGTCCACCACTGTGATGCCCTGAGCCTCTCTCTGCACCCTCCCTGATGGTCTCAGGTGCCTGCCTCTATCTAGACTATATGCCCCCTTGAATCCCAGACCCCTTTAATCTGAAGTCTGAGTTTCAGACCTCACATGTCCAAAACGGACCCTCCAGAAACCCAGACCTGCTCTTCACCAGAGACAGTCCCTGCTCTATCCCCTTGCACCCACTGCAAGCTGGGGCAAGGGGTGTGGGCTCTGAATCTTCCCCTTGTCCCTCTGCTGCTGCCTCTAATCCTGACCTAGCACCCTCTCATCTGGGATCACTGCAGTAACTTCTTTTTGCCCTTAAACCCCACAATCTCAAGCAGTAGCAGGATGGGAAATGTAAGCCAAATCTCTCTTCAAAACCCTTCAGTGATTCCTGTCAGTACACCATCAAAGTCCCTGCTGTGACCTGGACCCATGTACCCTGCCTGTCCCCACCCCCTCCCTCTTCTCATCAGAGTCCAGCTATGCTGCTCTGTCGGTGCTGAGGTGCACAGCCTTGTCACAACTGTTGCGCCCTGCTCTTCCTTCTGCCTCGATGTCCTGTCTCTGTGTACACATGGCTCACTCCTCCAGATCTCTGTCACAGAGTCTTCTCCCTACAGCAGCACTGCCCCTACCCAGCCCCAGCCCCAGCCCCAGTCCCAGTCTTGCCTGTTGGGTTCACAGCCATGCTCCCAGCAGATACATTTGATTGATTAAAAGGAACAGTAACCAAGGGGAGGGGATCCTGTTGAGGCGCAGGCAGAACAGAAAGAGGCCCTCAGGGCTCAAGGTGTCTGCCCAGCCTCTAGCACACACAGCTCTTCCATACCTTCAGCAGGTCATAGAGCAGGTCCATCTCCTCCTTGCCCCATGGCTTAGACTTGTCCCCCATAAATTGCATCAGAGCTGCAGGCAGGATGAGGAGCGAGGTGAGCTAGGTTGGGGCCTGGCCTGGCTCATGCCGTCTCTGCATGGGCCTTCACCTGCCATCTGATGCCTCACTCTCCAAATGCCCATGTGCCGGGCAGGGCAGCTTTACCAGGGAGGAAATGGGCTCAAGGAAATCACATGGGTGCCCAAGGCCACACACAGCACAAGCTGTCAGCTGGACCCATCCACTGCCTTCCAGCCCCGAACTCCAAAAAACCCACAACCTGTGGGTGAGAACACAAGTGGGGGAGGACCCTGGGGCACAGGAACCACCAGCAAGCATGTCTGACTTGGCAAACTGGGGAGGAGCCAGGTAGAGCTTAGGGAGGAAGGGGGACCAGGTGTGTAGGCCCAAGGCACTGTCGACATGGGGACCCAGGATGCCCACACCACTCACCCTGGAAGCCCGCCACAGCCTGCTTGCTCATGTCCTCATCACTAAGTCTGATGAGAGATTCCTGGATGGGAGACTGGCAGAAGAGGCTCAGCTGTGGGTCTTGGACCAATGTTGGTCAAAAGACAGAGACACTGGCCGGATTCCTCCCCACCTGGCCCCTTACCTTGGTGTACTGCACCAGGCTGGTTATGGCTTTCCCCTGGGCACTGCCACCTCTCTGGTCCAGCCTATGCAGACAAGAAAGGACAGCCCTGCTTGCTTGGCTCACCTGCCCTTGTTCTAGGCTATGGAGAGGGTGGGCACGCACCAGCCAGGTGGCTGTGGGCTGGGGGTTTGGGTTGGGAAGGCTGGGGACAGGCACAGGGGTTGGCCCAGGGCACTCACAAAGTGGAAGGCTTCCGGAAGTAGTGCAGGGCAAATTCTTGCATGGTGTAGTTGCGGGAGTCATTGGACAGAGAGGCATGGGCCATGGAGGAGGGCAGGCTGGTGGCCTCTGAATCATCACTGTGTGCCTGTCTCCAGGGGCGAGCAGGGCGCTGGGAGCACAGGAAACCTGGTGCCACCTGAGTGCCCACTAACCTGTCCCCAAGGCCCTACCCAGCCCCAGCCCCAGCCCCAGTCTTGCCAGACCCGAGAGGAGTAACACCAGAAGCCAAGAAAGTCAAGACTGTTTATTGAGAATCCTTGATAGCTGTGTTGAAATAAGCACCATGTGGGAGCCAGAGGGTTAGGTCCAGCCCCTGCTACGGGAGGTTTACAGACTTGCTGGTTCGGAAACAAGGAAAGAAGGCAAGAGAAGGCAGAGGGGGGACAGCAATGCACCAAGCACTGACCACCAGGCCACTGGAGGGCACAGGAGGCAGGCAGCCGCTGGGGCAATCACACTCTCCTTCCTTGACTCTAGAGAGCTCTTGCCTCTGCCTCTCCTGTCTTTCTCACCTCCGAGGCCCTGTCCCACTGAGTGGGACCTGGCTCTCCCAGCTGAGGCTGACTTTTGCGCTGCCAGCCGTTCCTCTGCTCAGGGGAGGGAAGGTAGGGAGCGGCAGCCGGCTGCACCATGTCAGCAGGAAAGAGTCCAGATCGGCCCCCGGCAGAGCCAAACTGCCAGCCTAGAAGGCATACCCAAGACAGTGGTTCACCCAGCTGGCCGCGCCAGCTTAAGCAGGCTTCGCCAGTAGGATGCCCTCCTTGGGGAATACCTGGCTCTAGGTCCGCCACTGGCAATAGTTTGATGAGGTCCCCACGGTGGAAGCTTAGGAGGCTGTGATCATCAGTGATGTAACTTCGCAGGGCGATGACATAGCCGGAGTCCTGTGGGCAGGTGGGTGAGCGAGCCAGAAGCAGCAAGCCTGCCCACCCCGCCTTCTCCCCAGTTGACCTCTCCCTCCACCCAGCACCCTGAAGTTCCAGGGATCCAGCCTAAACCCCCAGTCCCAGTCCAGGGAAGCCAGAGAGGCTGAGATACAAGATGCAGGCTGCCCTCTGACCCAGCACCCGGCCTGCACTTACCTTCCTGAGTTCACTCAGGAACTGATCCACTAAGGCCTTGATGGCCCTGGCCCGGGCTGTGTGCAGCACAAGCTGCTCGCTCTTCAGCGACAGTTCTAGGGTGGAGCTGCCCTGGCACTCCACACCCAGCACCTCAGCAAAGCTACACACAGATGGAGCATGAGCTGGGGGTCATCTTGCCACCCCACCCTCAGCCTAGGCTCCAGGCCAGCCCACCTGTATGAGCAGAGTGTCTTCAGCTGGTCCAGGTGAAAGCTGGGGCCTTGGGTCACCTTGAGCAGTTTCAGCCCTCGGTGAGAAACACCTAGTAGCTGCACGTCGCTGCCACTCTCGCCCTGCCAGGAAGGTGGGTAGGTCAGGGACAGGCTCCTGGAGTCTGGCACTGCTCATTCCCTGGACCTGCACTGGGCCACTGGCACACCTCCCCCAGCACTCATCCCGCCTGTGGAGGGCCCAGACTCGGGGTGCAACCCTGGCCCTTCCCAGAGCCCCACTGACCGAGACAGGGAAGATGCGGGAAAAGTAATTGGCCCAGTTGTCCCGTGCGGCCACCACAATGCGCTTCTTGACGCTGTCTTCGACAGTGGCGAGGGAGTCCAGGCCCACCTCCAAGTCTCCTGCAGGCAGGTCCCTGATCTCAAAGGGTTCCCGTGACCACATCCTCCCTTGGGGCCAGCCCAGCCCCTGGCACTCCAGCTCCCGGATTCCAGTGTCCCTGCACCCATACCCAGCAGGTCTTTCATCTTGTGCCGCTCGTCCTGGGAGATCCGAATGCAGGACTCAGCAAAGGTGTCCCTCAGGATCTAGGAATAGAGCCAAGTGGTCACCACCACAGGTCCTGAGGCCAGAGCCCACCCCAGAGCAGCCATGGACATATAGGGAGGAAAGACTGGAGGGCCCAGTGGAGGACCAGGAGGAGTCAGGAGGGACAGAGAGCTCTCCAGCCCAGGCAGCTCCCTGCCCCTTGCCAGCAGTCACCTGCTCTCCTACCCTTCGTCTCTCTGTCCCTCCCCCACTGGTTGCCACTGTTGGGTCAGCTGAGGCGAGCTGCCCTAAAGGAACAGAATGTGGCCAGAGGGAGAAAGGAGGCTACTTTTTGGGAGCAAAAGCACAGCCCTAGGAGCATTCATAGGTGTCAACACAACAACCACCATTTATGAAGCACCTACTGTGTACCAGGACCTCATTGCTAAAACTAGGTTAATCATGTTCTTCACTCTGTAAAGGACTCTAAGAGTCAGCGCTGGGCACACAAAAAGTGCCATTGCTATTATGCCCCTCACACGGGTGTTAACCCGAGCTAGGAGCTGGGCTAAGGGCCACAGGATGCTGTCTGGCTGCAGACGTGGCAGGCTGGCAGGCGAGCCCAGCCCTCACCTGCTCACAGAGAAGCCGGAGGCAGTAGGGATGGCTGAAGTTCTCCCGAGGGTAGAACACCTGGAGGAGAAGGGGAAAGAGTAGAGATTGGGTGGGCCTGTGTCCTACCCAGCCCACCTCTGCTCTTTCAGGCACAGACTGGGAAACCAGCCCTGAAAAGGTGGGTCATGAGGAGTGCCAGGTCGGGATCCCCAGCCCAAAGAGGCCAGGCCAAGGCCCACCTCTGATGCCCACTTTGATGCCCACCTCCTTGCGTAGGAACAACTTCCAGGGGGCGCTGGCATAGGAGAAGCACACACTGCCAGAGGGCACAAGGAGCTGGGTGGAGATGCCCCGGTCCCCCATGGGCTCTGACAAGACTGTCAAGGGAGGATAAGGAGCTTCAGGTGAGGGGCTGCCAGGGCCAGAAGGCCAGGGGTTCAGGGAGGGAGGACCCTTGTCCTTGCCTGCCTCCCTCAACCCCCAGCTGGATTACTCCTGAACTCAGCACTATCTCCTGCCTCCATTTCTGGCCCTAGATGTCCCTGGTGTCCCTGCACACATCAGTCATGAACACTGAATTCCCCACAGAGCTGCCAGGTCTGCATCCTGGACAACACTCTGTGTTTGACAGTCCCTCAGTGACAGGCCCAGGGTTCCCGAGCCCTGCCCGGGGAGGGAATGCGGAAGCTGGGGCTCCATGGCTCCAAAGTCCAAAAGCCCAAGCAGCTGACCTCAGCTGTGTAGAGATGACTTCAGCCATGGGGTCCCCAGAGGCTGTTGACCCAGTGAGGCCCCACTGCACAGGGGGATGGGATTCCTTACCGCGAGGCTCTGCCAAAGGGGTCCTGGGCTCCTCGGATGAAGGCAGTGGGGGTGCTGGTGGCAGTAGGGGTTCCTGGGCAGTGGGAGGGTTTAGGCCAAACAGATCCCGAAGGGGCCCCTGCTTTTCCTTGATGGAGTTGGAGGGCCCAAGCCGTGGCTGGGCCTTGGGTCGGGGAGCCACAGCTGGTGGTGGGCCCTTCCCCAGGCTGGGGGACAGAGTCTGGGGGGGGGACAGAGAAGGCACAAGAGCTGGGTCAGTTGGCAAGGCTAAATTCACCCCACGAGTAGATCAGACCATGCCCTGAAGAAAATAGACAGGAAACTCACTGAGGGGGGCGAGTGGGCACCATTGATCCCCAGCTTGGCCAGAGCCTCGTCTTTAGGGTCATTTTTCTTCAGGAAAGTTTTGAGGGGCCTTGTAGGAGAAGCAAAAGATCACTAAGTCTCTGGGGAAATTTCCTGAGAGAAGCAGGCCGGCCATCACTCCCTGGGCTGACCTGGTTGGCTGCACGGGCACGGGCACAGGGCTGGGGCGGCTCTGGTACATGCGGATGATGTTGCGAATTTCCTTGCTGGGTTCTGGCCGCTGCGGGGTGGGGCCCAAGCTGCGCACCATGGGCCCTTCACCCTGGGCTGGCTGTGCTGTCTCAGCTGGCTCAGCCTCAGCCTCTTTTGCGGCTTTGGCTACACCTTGTTTCAGTGGCTTCTTCACTGAGACAGGAGGAGGAGGGGAAGAAGGGGACAGCACTGACCAGAAGAAGAAAGAACATTAAACTCTGCACAGAAAAGCAGGAGCCCCAGGCCCCGTCTGTCTGCCCCACCTGTTCCTGTTTCCTCTTCTTTTTCCTCCGTCTCCTCCCCCTGGGGGATCTGGACCTTGGCTGGAGGCTTCACCATTTTCACCTTGATCTGCTGCTGTCCTGTAAATGCCCCACACGGCCTTCTTGTCATCTATGCTTGCCCAGCAGCTCTTACCGGGGCCCCCCGGCAGGCCCTACTGACGGAGATCTGGGGGCACCCTCTCCTCCCCTGGCCAGTTAGAGTTCCACATGGACTGCCACCCTAAGCACCCTCACCCATCTTCTGGAAATAGTCCCGTTTCTGCTGGAAGCTCTTAGGGCGCTGGGGCCTGTCTTCAGCCTCCTCTGAGGTCTCCTCCTGGCCCAAGGGAGATGCAAACTGCAGCCCCAGCAAGCACACGTCTTGTCCACGACCTCCCCCTCTGCTCCCTTTCCCAAACCTTCACACGCACCCAGCCCATGTGTCTCAGACCGGCATCTTTGGACCCTCCCCAGGCCTTGTATTCACCTGGCCTTCATTCCTCACCCTCAAGCAGGCCCCTCCTGCTTCCAGGTCATGCTCTGGCTTCTCTAGGGGAACAGGGGGCTTCTTGGGCTTGGGAGTGACAGCTGAGGGCGGGGCCTGGGAGGCAGCCCCAGAGGCCTGGGCTTGGCGTTGGCGCTGCTGGTTCTGCTGCTCCAGGGACAGGCTCATGGCCTGGGTGGTCATCTGTTGGGCCTTCAGGGGAGGGGTGAGAGGCCAGGTAAGAACCCTGTGTGGCCCCCACCCCACACACCCATCCTCCTCCAGGCAGCCCCATGGGCCCTGCCACTCTCACCAGGATCAGCGCCTGCTGGTTGATGAAGTTCTGCTGCTGGATTGCCAGCTGCCTCGTGTCCAGGCTGGGAAGCAGGGGCTGTGGCTGCGGCTGTGGCTGCGATGGCACTATCATGGCTACAGGGGCAGCAGGTGGCCAGAGCAGGTGAGTGCCACTTGTGCCCTCAGGACTCCTAGAAGGCCCTTTCATGCTTCAATCTCAAAGCTAGCTGCTACAAGGGACCCTGATGCCCCCTGCCTGGCCTTACCTGGCATGGTGGGGACTGTGCCCACCGCTGGCATCATGGGCATTGGTGGAGGCATCATAGCTGGCTGGTATCCAGGCATTTGCATCATCCCTGTGTACACTAAAGAACCAGGCTCCAGGTCAGTCTCTGCCTGAGCTCACACACAATCTCCCTCCAGCCCCAGGCCAAGAGAAGAGCAAGGGCATCAGCCCCCCGGGTGCTGGCTGGAATCCCTGTCCCAGCTGCCTCGGGGTCCAGGCCACCCCTGACTGTGCTACTGGGCCAGGTGGCCCTGGATGGAATTCAACCCCACACTCACCCATGGGGTAGCCCTGCTGCATGGGCCCGATGGCACCCCCTCCCTTCATGCGGCTGTTCAGAGCCCAGCCTTGTTCCAGATCCTGAAGGGACAGTAGTCACAGTGTCAGAACTAGTGCCTGGGAAAAATGGAAGGAGCAGCAGAGGCCCCAGCAAGTTGAGGCACGGCCAGGATGTAGGGAACACTCACACTGAGGCCTGGGGCAAGGACAGGCTCAAAGATGTGGTCCAGGAAGCCATCCAGGCTCCCCGATGTCCGGGCCTCCCCTGTGGGGCAGGGACAGTTTGGAGCATCCGGCCAGAGTTAGGGCTGCTGGACTCCCATTCCCAGCACTCTGCCAACTCAGCGAGCCTTACCTGTGTGGCCTCTGCTGGGCAGTGCTGGGGCTGGACCTGGAGGTGGGCCTGGAGGTGGGCCTGGAGGCAGTGAGGGGGCCTGGACACCAGGGGCAGGGGGAATGTTCTCGGCTCTGCAGAAACCAGTAGGTCTAGCTAAGGGGGCTGCTGAGGCAGAGAGTAGCACCCAAACTGTGGGGATGGGGTGGGGAAGGCTGGGGGCAGTGCTGGGTCTGTAGCAGTACCTATGCTGCCTCAGGGTGTGACAGGGTGACTACAGGGGTCACTAGCCAGGGGAGGGCAGACCAGGGATGGAGGGCATGGGTAGACCTACAAGCCAGTGGGGGTGATGGGGTAGCTGCGGGGACCTGCTGGGTCCCCAGGGTCCTCCATCTGGCCAATCAGGTCCAGCACAAAGTCACAGCCAGCCAAGTCCTGCCAAGCATCCCCAGAGTGTAGTGACACAGACCAGCCTCGAGGGGGCACATCCAGGCCTCTGGGTGGAACAGCAACATGCAGTAGGGAGTTGGTCAGTGAGTCAGATGACCATCCTGCAGGGGCAGGGAGCAAGGGGAGGCAGCCCAGGCCCTTCCAGCCCTCGGCATCGGCATCGTCAGTGGGCTGCAGGGCTCCGGTCTCGCTGGGCAACGCAGGCAGCCCTCCTCGTTACCCCGCGGCTCTGCTGCCCTCATCCACAGAACTACTGAGTGAGGATTTGGACCCGGGCTCTGGCGCATCCCCTCCACTCTGCTCCCCATCTGGAATCCACGGTCTGACCCACTCACTTACCTTAACCCAGCCCCCTCCCTGACCCTGGGGAGGAGCCTCAGTCCCTGAGCCCTAGGAGGTGTGTGGCACGAGGGAGGGAGAACAAGGATGGGGACAAGCGTTAGCTCTGGTCCCAATGGCCCCCAGCCTGATCCTCATACCTGCTCTGTAGGATCCACCCGGCAAATTGCTCCCCTGTGGTCCAGGACTCCACCTCGGCCGAATAGCACTCCTCTGCAGGGGAGGAGGTGGGACAAGGGTGAGGGACAGCAGGGTCCACCCTGGCAGCCAGGGGCTACTGTCCTGGGAGGAATCCAAAAGCAGAGGAGAGGGGAGATCAGAGTGACATGGGGCAGGGGGCAGCAGGAAGACCAGAGCAGGAAGGGAGCTGAGAGGGTAGAGGGCGGGGAGGCCTGGCAGGAGGGGGCCATCACCATTGAAGGTGAAGACATCCAGCGCCATGCGGCCCCTCCGCCATCCTGCCTTCCACTCGAGCTGGGTGGGCGCGTGGGCCCGTGCAGCCCCAGGGGCCAGCGGTGTCTGCTCCAGGGCTCCCAGCAGCTTGTGTTGGCATACTGCCGCCATGCCCTGGGGGGCCTGGTCCGAAACGAATCTGCAGGGACAGTACCGGGTTGCAGTAGAGGAGAGGCGTGTGGACCCTGCCCCCCAGGTCCCCTGCTGCCGATCCCATTACTTGAGCAGTGGCTTCTGCAGGGCGGGCATTGGGGGGAAGGCGCTGAGCAGGACAGCCATGAGGGCCCAGCCGCGCTGGCTCGGTTGCTCGTCAGGGTTCTGCCAGAGCTGGGACACGAGCTGGCTGAAGAGCTCGTTCCGCAGCCCTGGCCGGCGCTGCCCTTGCCTCACCAGGTAGGTACCCATGGTCTGCTCCTGCCAGGACTGCAGGGACCCGTCTCCCAGGAACCGCAGCATCTGCCACACAATGCCAGGCCAGAGCAGGAGGGACAGGACTCTCATGTGCTGCCCTGTCCCTGGAGGGTCCACACTGTCCCCTCCCCAATGTGTCACTCACCACCTTGTTGATGTCCAGAGCAAGTTGGGGGTTCTCACCATCCAGCTGGGTCAGGGGCTTGGCCAGCAGCTGCCCTGGACTGGGCAGGGATGGCTCCTGCAGGGAAGAAGGGTGACATGGCATTTGTCCTCTGTGCTGATCAGCGGGAGGACAGTCCTGGGGACCCGCACAGGAGAAGGAGGGGGACTGGTGCACAAAGACATCTTAGAAATGCATCTTTCTTTTTTTATTTTTATGTGTGTGTGAGTGTGTGTGTGGTGCTGGGGATTGTCCCAGGACCTTGTGCATGTGAGGCAAGCACTCTACCAACTGAGCTGTATCCCCAGCCCAGAAATGCATCTTAACAAATCTTTGATTAGATTGAGATCCATATGTAGAGAAAGCACAGAAAAGGATAAAAAAAAGAAAATGAAAACCACCATTAACATCCTACTGCCAGAGAGAACCAGAGTAAGCCTTTTAGCCTCTCTCATCTTCCTTTCTGTGCCTAGATACACACACCTTAGCATCCCCACTTTTGGGTGTTTTTTTTTTTTTTTAAGCAAAATTGGGATCCTACTACATGTGCAGCGTGGAATCCTGCTTTTGATTTGAACGCTGCCTCCCAGACAGTTTCCTTTGCTTTGAACATTCTTAAGGACACGACTTCAATGGCGGAACAATACCACAGGTAGGCACCCAGGTGTGGCCTCACAGATGGAAATAACTCTATGGTGACACATCTCGGTTTAATGGGTATTTTCAGATCTGTCCAGCTGCACCCACAGCCCGGGTGACTACAAAGGGTAGAGAAGGTGGGGAGGCCCAGCTCATCCCTGGCATGTGCTGAGACTGGGAACCGCAGGGCCAGCGGGAAGTGCTCAGGCCTGGGGGCCCACCTGGAAGCTGCTAGCGATGAAACTGGAGAAGGGGAATTGGTCAATGTCCCGGGGGAGGGTCAGTCTGGGCCGGGCAGGAACCTCAGGAGGCATGGACTCGGTGATGCTTCCAGCCAGGGCATCCTGGTGACCTGGAAAGGAGCACAGGAGGAAACTGAAGGTACCCAGCACCTATCTCCAGGAAGCTGGCAGGGAGCTCAGGGAGAGGCAGAGTCACTGCACAGTCAAGGGACTGGGGCACCAAGGAGACCCACCTTCTGCTCTCTTCAGCATGGCGGCCAGCTCAGCTGGGATCTCCAAACGCCCCAGCTCCTGGTGGGGAGGAACAAGATACCAGGAACCAAGGGAGGGCACAGAGGCACCTGGTATCCCCCTTCCCCCAGAACAATAGACATCCCCTCCAAAGACCAAGGACTCTGGTCCTACACACTCAAATAGAGCCCCAAGAGCCTCGGAGGGAGACTGAGGGTGGCTGCTCCTCTGTTCAGGTGACACATAAGGATAGTGACCCTGGCAGCTCCCCTGACTCTCTACCCTCCCCAAAGCTATGTCAGGCTCAGCAGGCTCAGACCCCCTCCCCCAAGGAGTCCCTTCCCAGTCCCAGGCCACCTACCATGCTTGACGCTTTCTCCAAGGCCCCACCACTGTGCCGACCACACTGGCCACGCGGCTGGCCAAGCTGTGGGGGAGATGCAGGAAGAGCTGACTCCCTACCCAGCCCCACATAAACACCACCGTGAGCCTCCCAACGGCACTTCCCCAGTTCCACAGGTCAGAGTCCCCTCCTGCCTGCTGGAGGCCCTGATTCCAAAAAAGGATCGGCACAGACCCAGAGGGGCCAGTTGTCTGCCAAGTGGCCAGTTTGTTCCTATCTGACCCCAGCCCTTCAGAGCTCTCACCTGCCTCCTCACTGTGCACGTCACTGCCCGTCTGCCAGGACTCAGGGAAGAGGACAGGAGGATGGGAAGAAATGGTCCCAGAGGACAAAGTTCAGCCAGGGAGGCGCCAGGGAGGGAGGCACTATGTGGGCACTGACCTTTGAGCGGCTTTATGGGCCTCAAATTGGAGTCATCAGGCAAGAGGGGGAGAACAAGGGGCCCACGGGAGGGACAGAGGGAATGGAAGAGACTCCAGGCAAGAAAGAAGACAGTAGACTCCCAGGTCCCAGATTGCCCTGGCCAGAGAAGAAACAGGGAAGAGTTCAACGTGGTCTCCGAGACCTCAGTTCTTGTGAGGCTGGGCTGGGGGCAGACACTGTTGAGATTTAGACACCCTGAGCTTCCCTAGCCCAGTATCTGTCTCCCATACCCCTCACCTGCAGCCTCTGCCGGCTCTGGCACAGGGGCTGGACCACAAGGAGGATGGTGTTCAGCTGTCCCAGAGCCACTCGACGCCGGAGGTACCGCTTCCTGGAGGCCAGGGAGTGTGATGAGGCTCCAAATTTATACCTACTGCCTGGTACTCAATCCCTCCAAGCCTAGACATTATGTAAATCTGACTCTGGACCATGAAGCCCCTGAACACTTAACAGAAGCAACAAGAAAAGAACAGGACATTGTGAAAAAGGAACAGGTAAATGGAGCGGCTGTTTGGCAAAAGGGGATCAAGACCTGACTCCTGAGCTGGATTACCTGGATCTAAATCATTCCCTGCTAATTAGTCAATGTGACTGTGGATAAATTATTCTACCTCTTTGTTTTACTACAGAACTTACAAAGTTAAAAAGTGACCTCATAAATTTAAATAAGAGATCCCAGAAAAGGGAATATGAAAATAAAATAGCTTTCAGAATTTCCCAGTCATAGGAAGACTTGTCAAAGGAGGAATCCTGAACAGTATAAACATAAAAATAGGGCCAAGGGCGTGGCTCAGTGGTAAAGCACTCGCCTAGCTGTGTGAGGCCCTGAGTTTGATCCCCTGCACTGCAAAAACAAAAACAAAACAAAGAAACAAAAGCTCAGTGGTGAAGCGCTCACCTAGCACGTACAAGGCCCTGGGTTCCATCCTCAGCACCACATAAAAATAAATAAACAAAATAAAGGTGTTGTGTCCAATTACAACTAAAAAACAAACAAACAACAACAACAATAAAAAAGACCCTGCAACTTTTTGTGGCTGAAAGGGCACTATGAACAGGGTGAAAAGACAAACCACAGAATAAGAAACTATTTGCAAATCACATATTTGATAACGGCTTAATATCCAGGAAATAAAACGAACTCCTACAGCTCAACATCAGGAACAGCCCATTTAAAAGCTAAGCAGGGGACTTAAATAGATCTCTCTCCAAAGAAGACAAATAATGGCTAAAAAGCACACAAACAAATGCTCAATGGCATCGGTCACTAGAAAAATAAAAATCAAAACCATGAGTTAGCAGTCACATTCACTAGGATGGGCATGATGTAAAAACACAAAAAATGACAGGTATTGCCAACGATATAGAGAAACTGGAACCTTGTACATTGCTGGTAGGAACAAACATGACGCAGCCACTATGGGAAACAGTCCAGCAGCTCCCCGAAAAGTTCGACACAGAAATGACCACGCGGTCCAGCAATTCCACTCTTAGGTACAAACCCCAGAGATTTAAAAACAGAGCCTAGAGCCAGGCATGGTGGTACCCGCCTGTAATCCCAACAACTTGGGAGGCTGAGGCAGGAGGATCGCAAGTCCAAGGCCAGCCTCGGGAACTGAGTGAGGCCCTAAGCAACTCAGCAAGAGCCCGTCTCAAAATAAAAAAAAATAAAAAACAGGCTAGAGATGTGGCCCAGTGGTTAAGCAATCCCTAGTACAACAAAACAAAACAGAGCCTAGAACACACACTTGTTTACCTGTATTTATAGCAGCATTATTCAGAAATAATAGAAACAACCCAAATATCTATCAATGGATAACCTGATAAATAACGTGTGGCCAATCCATACAATGGAACATTATTCAGCCATAAAAAGAAATGAAGTTTTGATCCATGCTTCAACACAGATGGACACAAAAAGCCTTATGCTAATAAAATAAGCCAGATATAAAAGGATCCTCCTATAAGTCAACTTACATGAAACATCCCGAATAGAGGCAGAAAGTAGGTTGGAAGCTAGCACAGGTCAAGGGCGGGAGGAAGAGGGAGTCTGTGCAGTGGTAACAGTTTGTGTTCGTTCAATGGAAAAGTTTTGGAAATGAGCAGGGATGACCGTTGCCCCTCTCGGAGGGTCCCCTGGTGTTGTCCACACAGAGCAGTCTCCACTTTATTCTCAGTCCTAGTCATCCCTTGGGGTGACTAGGGGCTGAGTTAACCACCCCGGGAGGCACCATCCTGCTGCCATCACCCCTGTGTCCCAGTGTGTGGCATGAATGGGTGATGATGGCTGTGGAGGGTCAACAGGAGCTGATGGGGGAATGGGAGTCAGCGGGGAGGAGGGCAGCACCATGGGCCTGAGAAGCCCGTGCGTGGCTGCCTTGCACGCCAGGCAAGAGCTCTACCACTGGCCCACACCTCCAGCGCCTGATTTAAATGACCCTTCCTGCTGCAGGGTGGAGGACAGACTAGAAAAGAGCGGGTCAAGGAGTTGGACCCATAGTTCAGGTGGCCTCTCAGGTAGCCTCTTGTGCCTGGGGTACTCAAGCAGAGGCTGCCTGGCATGGCAGGAATGCTGTCAGGAGGAGTCCAGAGCAGATGGGATGTCTCTGGGGCAGGCAGAATTACCTTGGGACCCTACCTCCCCAACACTGCCCCAACACCTTGAGGAGGAGCCCGTGGCCTCTTCCCTAAGGCCTCCTCCCTAATCAGCCCTGGCTCCAGTGGCCCACCTGGCCTGGACCCCGCGCACACGAGCCTGTATCCGGGGCAGGAGGCGGAGGCGCTGGCGGGAGACGCGGGCACGGAGGCCCCGGTGCAGGGTGAACAGAGGAGCCTGGGTGCGCCTCTGTGCCCACAGCCTCTCCAGCTGCTGCCAGCCCCTCTCCTGCAGCAGGACCTGTGGGTAAGGTCGTGGCTGCAGTGGAACAGGCAGGGGACCAGTGCCCACCTGCTCTCCTCCTCTTTCCTCAGCCTCCTCCCTCCCAGCCACACTGTGCTCTGGGGTGCCTGCCACCCAGCCCCTCTCCACCCGCCACTGCCCGCCCCACTGCATCCTTGCATACACACACCCACCTTAGTGGCCCCGAGGTGATAGAATGGTGACTCAGCCCCCAGCACCTGACAGAGGATGGCGCCACACCTGTCCCGATCGGAGTCCTCCTGTCCTTCCTTCCCCAGGGCCTGGAACCTGCCCCAAGGAGGCAGAGCCAGGTCAGGACAGCTTCTTAGCTCCTTTGACACTGGTTTGCACCCAAGCCCCTCCGTATTCATTTAGTTCCTGGGTCATTCACAATGTGGAAATCCTGCCATACTAGGCGCATGGCTGGGTGCTGAGACCTGGCTGTGAACAGGGCTCTCCTCGGCTCTGGGGAGGAGACAGGTGGTTGGAATGCGGTGCACAGATAGGGCCATAAGACCAGTCCTGGGCTGTGGAAGCAACAGGAATGTAATCCTGAAGCTTGGTGAGTCCTGGTGGCCGGCACACCCTTACGCAGCGGGTGTCAAGGCGGGTGTCAAGGCGTGGTTTTGGAAGGGAGGTTGGGGGAAGCCCCAGAGCAGCAGGGGATGCTCACCACAGACCTTCAGACAGACCTGGACTGTGCTGAGAGGACAGCTGTACCCCAAAACCCCCCATCCAGCCTCAGGGCTTCCTGGAGGAGGTGGCAATGCTGCATCTGGTAAGTGTCCAAAGGGCAGGGAGGAACCTTCCCTGACTGGCCTTCTCAGTGTCTGGCTCAAATACAGGTGCACACACCTGGTAGCCCTTCAGGGGGCGCCTGCAAGGCCATCCAGTCAGTGGCAAAGGCCAAATAGGCAAAAAACACAAGTCACCAGCTTTTCTAGCAGTTTCTGAACTCCCCAGAGCCGCCCAGTGTTCCTAGGGCTGACCCAAGTCTGTGTGCATCTGAAGGGCTCTGCTCTCCCTGTCCTCCCTTCCCATGTCACTAATTCAGCCAGCACTTCCTGAACACCGACTGTGTCCCTTGGCTACACTGTGAGCCCCCAGGACAGACTTTGCCAACCTCATCCCTGGTCCCTGGGCATTAGCGCCCCGGGAGGCCCCGCCCTGAGGCCCTACCTGGCCAGGAATGCCTGGAAGGGCATGCGCACAGGGAAGTGGGCACTGCGGGTGCCTATGGCCTCCAGGATGCCCGCCTGGTGCAGCTGCTCTGCCACATGTCCCACATCAAAGAGGCCTGGGATCTGGGGCCAGAGAGCGCCAGTGAGAGGAGGGGCTGAGGGCTCTGTGTCCAGGGGAGCAAGGGAAAGGGGCAGGGCCGGGCAGCGTGGGGAAGGCCCTGGGACCCCGGGAGCTCACCTTTCCAGGGTTGGGGTCAAGGCACTGGATGAAATAGATGTGGCTCCTGCTAAATGGAAGGGGAGGTCACTGGGCACAGACCAGCCCCCATTCAACTTCCGGGGGCCTTGTGGGGGAGCACCATAACCCTCACCTGCCCAGCTGGGCTAGGAGGTCTCCTAGGGACTTCTGGAAGCGAGAGGTCAGCGTGGATTGTCCTGGCCCTCCTCCAGCCCAGGGCTCTGCTTCCTGGAACAGGCTGCGTACCAGCTGTGGGGCAAGACAGGGCTGAGGCCCCCCGAGGCCCGCCCACCTGCCCCACAGCCCTGGGGACCCAGGCAGGCCAGCTCTGGCACACTGAGCCTGTCATGCAGGGCGCTGGGGCTTGAGGGCCAGCCCCTTTGGCAAGGGCATACGGGGAGGAGGACAATGGGGACAGAGTATGGAGGGGCAGGGCTGAGGCTGCAGGGCACCTGGAGCTGGCTCTGAGCAAGCATTCCCACCACGGCAGCGTCCAGGTGGTCCCGGTTTCTGTTCAAGAACTTGTGGACCTACAGGAGACATGAGTAAGCAGGCCGGGAAGCGAGAAGGCTGTGCGTGGTGGCCAGACTCCCACAGGAGGAGGGCAGCCTCTCTCCAGCATCAGAAGGCCCCTGGTCAGCTGTGCAGGCCTCTCACAGCCCTGAGGCGGCCACTGGACTGGCTGTTCCGTTCCGTGGATGCCACTCCTCATGAATGCCGTTCCCCTTTCGGGGCAGGGCGTTTTCCTACCTGGGAGAGCAAATCACCCCTTCTTGACTTTTCAGTATTTTATTGGTTACTTTCCTGCATTTCTTCTCCAGATAAAGCTTCGGAATAATTTTTATCAACAATCCATTTCCCCTCCTGTAAGAATTCCATCAGAGTTTTGGCTGGAAAGGCAATGACTTTTCTAGATTGACTAGGCAAGAATGGACCACATTGTGGTTTATCTTCCTTTTTTTTTTTTTTTTTGCGGGGGGCGGGTACCAGGGATGGAACTCAGAGGCACTTGACCATTGAGCCTCACCCAAGCCCTATTTTGTATTTTATTTAGAGACAGGTCTCACTGAGTTGCTTAGCACCTCGCTTTTGCTGAGGCTGGCTTTTAATTTGTGATCCTCCTGCCTCAGCCTCCCAAGCCACCAGGATTACAGGTGTGTGCCACCGTGCCCGGCTTGTCTTCCATTTTTAAGTCTTCTTTTTTTGATATTCAGAGTTGTGTTTTGGAACCTAGGGCCTTGCACGAGCCAGGCAAGTGCTCTACCCCTGAGCTACGTTCCCGGTCTTCACAGTTGTCTTTATTAACTCCCAGGTAGTTTTTGTTTTCTTCTACAACCAGAGCATGCCCTCGCCGCCAGGGATCCTCCTTGACGCTTCCCACCTCAAGTCTATCACACTGTACCCTCCTGCATCCAGGAATCCTCCCGTCAGGGACTCTCCTCTTGGGAAGTCCTCGGTAGATGTGAAACTCGGAGCAGGACAGGGAAGTCCATTCAGTGAGCACCTAGCAGGCCCCTCAGTGCTACTGCATTTAATACTCGTGCCAATGCTGTAGGACCGACTTTCATGCCCACTTTACCGATGAGGAAAAGGAGGCCCGGCAGGCAAAGTGCCTGGGTTCTCGGCCGCGGCCCAGGCCTGTGCTTTGCCTCTACATCTGGAAGGTCCCAAGGCTTTGACCCTGTCGCCCCAAGATGTTCACACAGAATCCAAAAATCATGCTCAGAACTGAGTGGAGCCGATGGCCCAGGTGGGGACACAGGGCTAAGCATGAGAAGTGCCTCTCACCCATATCCTCTCACCTGTCAAGTGACTCAGTTTAGGAGGGGACATCAAGGTCACGTCACCTCATTGATCCACCCTGGAGTCTGTCCCTAGGCCAGATACCTGGTAGGTGACTGTCCCAGCGTAGTGCCGCACTGTGAAGATGGGCAGGGGCAGCTGAGGCTTGGCGTAGCTTGGGTGATCACCATGGTGATAGTGGCACTTCTGGAGGAAGGTGTGGTCTGTGGCCTGATAAGGGGATGAGTGGCACCTCCTCAGGCTTTGAACACACTGTCCCCTGCAGAGACTGCACTCCCTCCCAGTGACCCCAGGACCATATGCCCTGAATATAAGGGAGGTCTTGTCCCCCCAAACTCTCCTCAGACAGGAAGAGTGACTATTGAGTCGCTCGAAAGGTGTCTCTCCCTTTTCCTTTTCTTTTCCCTTCTCCAGTGCTGGGGACTGAACCCAGGGGTGCGCCACCACTGAGCTATACCCCGGCCCTTTTAATCTTATTTTGAGACGGGGTCTAAGTTGTCGAAGCTGACCTCAAATTTGTGTCAGTACTAGATTTGGCAGCTCGCGGAGGATGCCTGAAGGGTCAATTAAAGGAAACAAGGGCCAGGGGACTTTAAGACAGATGCAGCAATTACTGCGGATGTAGGATCGCACAATTACAGCTTCTAAATGAGTATTTCAAACATTATTTTCCACATGTAACCAGGCAGAGCTTACTTGACGGAACTAATGAGCACATGGCAATCAATCAGGGGAGTCTGACTCCTGCTGCCCACAGGAGAGCCATGGCTCAGACCCACCCAGTGCTGCGTTTCAAATAGCAGAGAACTAGAGGGGGTCTCAAGCCTTGGAAAGCCATGCTAGGTGCTCCAAAAGTAGCCTTGCGGCCTCAAAGACACCAGTGACAAGTTTTAATAAGACATCGTGGGCCAGGCAAGGTGATGCACTCCTGTAATCCCAGCTACTCAGGGGGCTGAGCGGGAGGATCACAAGTCTGAGGCTGGCCTCAGCAACTCACTGAGACTCTGTCTCAAAATAAAGTGGAAACAAGGCTGGAGGTGTAGCTCAATAGCAGGGCGCTTGCCTAGCATGTGTGAAGCCCTGGGTTCAATTCCCAGTACTCACTACTCACCAAAAAAAAAAAAAAAAAGTAACGTGAGCAGGGGGAAAAGCAATCCTTTACAAATTAATATACTGTCTTATCTAGTAAGGGATTTCAAATATGTTTGAGTTTCATAAATGAATGTTGGCCTGGGGATATAGCTCAGCAATACAACACTTGCATAGCATGTGTGAGACCCGGTTCAATCCCCAGAACCGGAAAACAAACGATAAATGAAAGTTACAGGTGGGGGCAGTGGTGCACTCCTGTAATCCCAGTGGCTCAGGAGGCTGAGGCAGGAGGATTATAGGTTCAAAGCCAGCCTCAGCAACTTGGCAAGGCCCTGAGCAACTTAGAACCTGTCTCAAAATAAACAATATAAAAAAAAGGCTAGGAATGTGGCTCAGTGGTTAAGCACCCTTGGATTCAATTCCTCATATCAAAAAAAAAAAAAAAGTTACATATTAAGGTAATATGTTACATATCAGTATCTATTATATATTAACACTTAAGTATTACATTGATATCATGGTGACTATCATCTATGATATGTGATATGAATGATCATAATTATGTGTTGGATTATTCTACCATTATTTTTCATTTCTGACCTCTAATTGGGACAACGGGCATGGCTTATATTCAGGGTCATGATATATTTAACTTTTATAGATATTCCTGTTCTACCTTCTGGCCTCAGTTCCCAAAGAAGGCCTGGGACCCACATATGTTCTTAGAGCCTCACAAATCCACCCACAGATCATGCATGTGGGTTTTATATCAGCTTCTGCATTTTTGGCTTAGGGTTTTCTATACCCCTTCCCGCGCTGTGCTGGGGATGGAACCCCAGGGCTTTGCATGAGCTAGGCAAGCGCTCTGCCACTCAGCTACATCCTCAACCCCATCCTCCTTTTTAAAGACATGATCTTGGTTGGGGCTGTAGCTCAGTGGCAGAGCGCTTGCCTAGCATGTGTGAAGCACTGGGTTCGATTCCCAGCACCACATAAAAATAAACAAAGGCATTCTGTCCATTTACAACTACAAAAAAAAAAAAAAAAAAGACATGATCTTTCTAAGTTGCCCAGGCTGGCCTTAACCCTCCTGCCTCAGCCTGCTGGGCTGGGACTACAGGTGTACACCACTGCACCCAGCCTTTTCCTTTTAAATCAGCATTTCTGGGCTCTACGGTCTCTCTTTGCTCACCTTTTATCCTTAGCATACTTCCTGGCACAGAAATTCATTATCAAACTCTTTTTTTAATATTTATTTTTCAGTTGTAGCTGGACTCAATACCTTTATTTATTTATTTTTATGTGGTGCTGAGGATCGAACCAAGGGCTTCGCATGTGCTAGGTGAGCGCTCTACCACTGAGCCACAACCCCAGCCCCCCATTTTCAAATTCTTAAGGGTCTCTGGATCCCATAACCTCTACGAGGTTCCAGCCTGGCCAACCAGGGCCCCTACTCCTTGTCCCTGACACTGGGGCCCCAGCCCTCACCTGGGACAGCCAGGTCTGGGCATCCAGGATCCTCAGGAGGCTGTGGGGATGGTCTACTAGGAGGTCCAGGCAGGACTCCCTCAAAGGCTGAAGGAGGGGCACCCAGGGCAGCAGCTCCCGCCGACACTCCTCCTGGGAACAAACAGCTTTTGGCCATTTACGATCTACGTCCCCAGGGACCCCCTGAGCTGAAGCAGGGCTCACCTTCCCATTTTATAGATGAGTGAACTCAGTTCAGGAGAACCCAGCCATCCCATGAAAGGGGGACTCGGGCAAGCTCTCATGCATCACTTTTCCTTTACCAAGGTGGCCTCTGCACTGGGCAGTGCCCTGGCACCCGTGCTGTCTGTGCTCAGCTCTCCTACCTCCTCCTGGGCCAGCAGCACTCGGCTGGAGAAGAGCTGCAGGTGCTCGCTGGCGAGGTTGTTGCACAGCTGCTCCAGGCTGTTCACCCGCAGCGCCTGGGGCACGGGATAGTGGGGACAGCGGGGACAGTGAGGTGAGCACACAGGGCAGGTGGGGCCAGCGCAGGTGGGGGCTGCACACAGGCCTGTGCCCTTTGTTCCCTCCCCTAGGAGCTGTCCCATCCTCTCCAGGGCTCAGGGAGAAACAGTGCCCCAGGATTGATGCTGCAGCCAATAGGATGGGGTCCAAAGGCCCTGGCACAACACGCAGCCCACCTCAGCCCTGACCCAGCCACAAGCCCAGCCTCCCTCCAGCTGCCCACACCCTTGCCTCTGCTCCAGCCCACTGTGAGCCTTCGGGGCTCTGCTCATAGCCATCCTTGGGTCCAGGCAGTGCCTTTGCCCACTACCTAGCTTGCTATCAGAATCCCACGTCCTCATAAGCAGAGTTTCAGGCTGCCACCTCCAGGAAGCCCTCCAGCCTTCCTCCCAAAGGGACTATGTGCCTTCCTCTGTGCAGCTCAGTGCTTGACTATAAGCCCAGCAGAGCACCCCTTCATGCAGTTGTACACCCCAAACAGCACACATGCAAGCACACACCCCCCTCACAGGTGGGGATAGTCACCGAGAACATATTGTGGGGGGCAGGATGGACAGGAGCAGGGAACAGTGCCCATCCAGCCACCTCCTCTCCCTCCACCCCCCTCCTTGCTGCCTTGAAGAAGTGAATTTTCTGGAAAGGGGTGCGGAGCGCGTGACAACTCAGGGAGATCTGGGGGACTCTCCCTCTCCCCTCCCCTCCGGCGGTGTGTAGGGTGAGGCTGTGGGTGAGCCTACCCTGGGGCCTCTGGGGGGGCCTCTGTAGGGCTGAACAGGGCAGAACCCTGCAGAGGTTGTGTCAAGAAAGGACAGCAAGGGCAGCGCAGAATGACTGCACTGGGAGCACACAGCTCTCCGGGGCTGTTCTAAGAGGGAGGTCTTGTTATGGTCCCCTGCTTTGCAGATGGCCTCAGACAGGTTAATCAACCTGCAAGAGGTCACAGGATTGAGTGACAGGATTGAAACCTAGGAGCTCCAGAGCTTCCTGAGCCTCTGCTCCACAGAAGGAGGGCAGCATGTGCTGGCAATGGAGATTGGGGTGGGCCTCAGCCTCTCCCAGAGGGCAGCCATGGGGAAGAAAGGAGAAGCCCTGTAGGAAGCCAACCCAGGAGCGTGGCAAGCAGGCAGCTGGAGGTGAATGGAGTGTTCCCTGCCACCCTCAACCAGACTAAAGCACCCAGAGGCCAGGCCTCTGTGTCCCTGGAGCAGCCACCCATCAGGTGCAGAAGAGGCCAGCGAGGGCACAGGGTTAGGCGGGCAGGCAGCTCGGAAATATATCAGTGTGAGGGCTGGGCTGTGGCTCAGTGGCAGAGCGCTTGCCTAGCGTGTGGGCGGCACTGGGTTCGATTCTCAGCACCATATATAAATAAATGAATAAAATAAAGGTCCATAAAGAACTAAAAAAAAAAAATTAAAAAAAAATATATCAGTGTGAGATGGGCATCCCCTGTACTGGGCCCCTCCCAAGGGGGCGACCTCAAAGCCATAAGCGTCCACAACAGTGATGGTGCCCACGCTGCCTTCCTCCTCAGGTGGTGCCAGCTGCCAGTTGATCCTCCTCAAAAGCCAGCTGAAGAGCTGTGAGTACAGGGCCTTGGCCAGGGCATCCCTGTGGGCACAGTGAGTAAGCCACACGCAGCAGAGCACCAGGCCTGGCTTGGTTCTCCCATCCCCAGGGCCACCTGGCATCGATGGCACTTTCCACGGGCAAGGATCTGGAGACCTGGCCATAGGACGTTTCCTGGAGGCCAGAGGAAGTGCATGGGTATGTCAGGCCGGTGGCCCATTCAGGTACCACCCAGCCTGGAGGAGGCCTGGGTTGTCCCCACACCTTCCCAGGACCCTGGGGCTCACCGTGACCCTCCTGGTGACAGCCCCTTCCAGGCGCTCTGGTGGCACCCGGAGTAACCGGGCTGCTGTGTGGATCTCAGCCCAGCTGGACACAGAAGCTACCTCCTGGGACTCCCACTGGACAGAGAAAAGGACAGGGAGAACTCTGTTCATGAAATGGACCTGTTCCCCAGGGCAGGGACAGGAATTTCCTTGTCATGTCAGCTGCCATCATCCAAAGGGACGACAACATGTGGGGGAAATCTGGGTCATGGTGAGCCAGGCCCTGGGTCTGAGGGCCCCCAAGTCAAGTCCTGACTTTCCCTCCTGACTAGCTGGGTGGCTCTGGTGAGTCCCTTCCCTGGGCCTCCACTGCCTTATTGCCAAGGGGAAACAGTAACTCGTAGGTCATGGTGTTTTTATGAGAACTGAGTTAGACAACATGTGCCAAGTGACTTGCCCAGGGCTAGGCACAAAATAACTGCTCAGCTAATGCCAGGTGCTCTACTGATGGGCAGCAGCTGAGTGTAACAGGTACTGGGAAAATGTAGACTCTCCAGGGCTCCGTTTTCTCATCTAAACAATGGGTGTCTCCCTCTTTGGGGACAGCCCAGGGCTCTGTAGGCTCCTACACGTGAGGGCTTGACATCATTTTCATTGTTCTGACTGCGCAAAAAATTACTGCTAATCAGCGTCTCCACTAGCCCTGCCCACAGGGGAAGCCCACCTCTGAAGAAGAAAAGCAGATGTTTCCCAGGTGCAGGACAGTGGCCAGCACGGCCCAGATTGCAGTCAATTCCTCGGGGCCCAAGCCGAGCACCTGCAGGGCCTTCTCTAGCCCTCTGAAGTCCAGGGCATCATCCTTGCCCTGGAGGCTGCAGGCCTGGCCCTGTAAAGCACAAAGGGGCTGAGGGGGCAGGTCTGGTCTCCCACTGCCTCCCTCGACTCCTCACACCTGGGTTGAGACCTGGCCCTTGAATCACAAGAGCCTTACCCTCACCTGGTTGAGGTAGTAGTAGGTTTCTGGTCCTTGCAGGGAGAGCTGCTCCTGCTCCATGAGATCCAACCCCGCCAGCAGCTCGTAAAAAACATGGAAGCTCCGCTCAGCCTGGGCCTTTGGGAAGACGGGCGTAGGTGGAACGATGCCTGGAGGCACGGCCCCCTCACTTTGGGAATTGGGAAGGGGTAGACGGGAGGGCACCCTTACCTGGAATACCACTCTGGAGGTCTCAAGCAGATAATGTGACACAGAGGCTCCCACAATGACACCACTGTGGGCACAGGAGATGGGCCAGGGTGCCCCCATGGTACACTTGGGCCCTGCTTAGGATGGGCCCACGAGAGGCTGGGACCAAGGGCATCAGCCCCAGGCTCCCAGTAAGGGTAACCCATTACAGATGCCAATGGACCCCCATCACTCACCGCTGCAGGCAGAAGCATAAGGCCTGGCCAAAGCGGCTGGCGTTGGCATTGAGGAGAGTCTTGGCATGGCCAAAGCTGCTGAGCACAGGCAGCACATCATCTAGCTGTGGGGAGGAGGGGCGCTTGAGCATCTCTGGGATGACAGTGGTACTGCCTCAAGGGTTCCCTGTGCCTGCTGGCTGTGCTGGGCCCATGGGGGGAGTCAGACCCCTCAGAAAAGTTCCCCAGCCCCCACAACAGGCAATGCCTGGAGCTAACTCCAGGAGAAGCCAGAGACACAAGACCACTGTCCTTTGGCCCAAAGGAAAGGGATGGTCTCTCTTGGACCCCTGGCAAGTGGCCAGTTGCCCCCTGGAGGGAGACAGCTTCAGCCCAGCCTCACCTGGCACCCTCTGTCCCTTGTCTGCTGCTGCTCCAGGCTGCGCAGGAACCGCACAATCTTCTTGGCAGCTTCTGTTTTCCCTGAGCCACTGCGCCCACTGCAGGAGGGAGGAGCTGGGGATGGGTGGAGGCCAGGAGGTTCTCCAGGAAGGAGACTGTGGGACTGCCTCAGTGAACCTGCACAGTGGGGCTGTGCCACTTGGAAGTGACACACTGGAGAACCCCAGAAACATGGATAGATGCAGGGCGTGGAGGTCGAACAGAAAGGGGCCTATGTGGTGACCTCTAGAGCAGACCCCAGTGAAATCCAGAGCTGTCACCCCGTGGTGCACCAGACCTCATGCCCCACCTGCGAGTCCTCAGGGAGGCCTTTGGGCTCAGGCAGGCCAGCCAGCACTCACCTGAGGAGGATGCAGGGGTCCTGCCCAGTGCTCTTAAATAGGCTATAGGCTGCTGCCACGATGGCAAATACGTGTCTGGGGAAGGAGGGCAGAAAGACGGGAAGGTTGCCAGAGATGGGCCTCTAGGCTGCTCCTAGGTATAGGTGGGACATGCCCACAGGCCCCAGGGCCAGTCAATGGGATGTGCCGGGGCCCAGCCACCAGGGAGGTAAACACAAATTTGAAAGACCAAAGGCACATACGGGGTGGTATTGGGGGCCTTCCCAGGGTGGTAGCTGGTTAAGATCTCAGATGAAAAGAGAGGCAGGGGCCGGTGGGGATTCAGAGCCACCAGGAGGGGCCCCCCAAATGTCTGGGGAAGGAAGCAGAAGTTGTTATTGGTGCATGGAGGCAGCAGGAGGAATGCAAGTGGGGGTTATTCCAGCGCTTCCCAGCTGGACCCCACGCTGCTCTGTAGGACCCCAGACAGAGGCTCACCACCCAGCCCAGGCACAAAGAGGAAGGAGAAGCCTTCGGATGCCCAGGAGCCCTCTATTCCCAGGGGAAAGGGAACCCAGCACACCACCCGCTCCTTGTAGGCCCCCATACATAGATGCGGCCCAGGTGAAACCTCTTCTTGAGGCACAGCAGCACAGAGCTGTCACACACCAACCTGTGGGGACAGCAGGGTGGAAGGGAGGAGCTGGGAGATGAAGGAAGTCCTGTACTAGCTGTGCCGGGAGCTTCAGGGACACCTGGGGCAAGTTTTCCAACTGTTTAGAGCCTTAACCACAGAGGGAGGGTCTATTCAGTAAATGACCAATCTATGGGGGGTAGACAAGGAACAGGCCCCTGAAAGGGAAGCTTTGTGCCAATTACAAGAGGAAGTCCCAGGAAGGGACACCTGACTTTCACTCCTCACCAGCCCCCTGTAGTCAGAAAACCTTTTGTGGGGCAAAAAAATCTTTCTGAGGATTCTATAGAAGTCTATTCAGTTTATAAAGAAGAGTGTAGGTGGCCTATAAGAAACCGCGAGGCAGGGACGGCCGATTTGGAACTGTGCTGCTCACCCCAGCCGGGCCAGGTCCTCAGTGTCTTCCAGGCCGTCTCTGAGGCTCCTACCCTCAGTACCCAGGAAGGATGCCTTCAGGTCAGGCCCAAGGCTCATCTCCAGGTCCCTCTCCAGCGCTGCCTCGGCCTCATCCTCCGGCTCCCACTGCTCCCTCAGGGACCAGCAGGAGCTCCTGTCGCGCTCCAGGCGGGTCTCCAAGGTGAGTCGGGGCAGCAGCGCGTTGGTGCCCAACCCAGGGTCCTGGTGGGGGCCTGAGTCCCGCGCCCAGTGCACCGGGGTCTCGGCTTCCAAGGTCTCTGGCTCCGCTTCGCTGCTGGAGCCGTTCTCCTCGAGTGGAGTCGAGTCGGGGGGAGTCTGCGCGAGCAAGACGGCGGGGCGGGGCCCGTCCGCTCCTTCTCCACTCGCCACGTGCCTCTCACTCTCCCCGGCAGCCTCCCCGGTGTGGGCGTCCGCGGACACTTCCCCTGAGCTCCTGCTGCTCGAAGCCCTCCCCTCCGTGTGCATCCTGGGGAACACGACTGCGAACTTGGGATCCGGAGTGGGGTCCTCATCGTCGGAAGGGTCCTCCCGGGCCGGGCTATCCCGGCCCTGTGGAGGGCTCCTGCCACCGCCAGGTGGAGGCCTCGGCGATGCTCTCAACCCCGCTAAGCCCGCCAGGCGCAACGCTAGACGGCGCCTCCGTCCAGGCCCGCGGCCCCGCCCCTCGCCCTCCCGAGGCTCCGCCCCAGGCTCCCGGGCCCGAGGCTGCCGTAGCCGCCGCAGCAACCACTGCAGCAGGCCCAGGGCCCGAACCACACGCAGAAGGCGCTCCTTGAGGCCCGCGCCACCCGACCCTGAGGCCTGGGGAGAGGGGCCTGGAGTGGGCCTCGCGCGGAGCTTACGGAGCACCGTGAGGGTGGCCAGTGGCGCTGGGTCCTCTGGACCTGCTCCCTTTTCCGACGCCGCTTCGCTCTGGTCCTCTGCCCCCTGCAACTTCCCCACCACCTTTCCAGTCTGGAGGCGCTGAGCCCGGGCCGCAGAGGCCTCGACTGTTTCAGGCTGGGCGTCCTGCAGCTCCGCCTCCTGCTGCGCCCAGCCTTCACTTGAGTCCGGAGAAAACATGGGGTCTCGAGAATCCCACGAGCTCCCAGGGACGTGCGCACAACTGCGCTCGAGGGAGCTGCATGCCGTGGCTTTTCCACCCAGGTCGATCTCTTGGGCATCAGGGACCCATCTTGCTGTCCCCAGGGGTGCCGGTGGGCGCGGTCCAGGCCCGGTCCCCTCCGGACTCAAGTCCGTATTTGTCCCAGAATCCTCACTCGCTCCCTGGGGCCCTGTCCCCGACGACACTTCCTCATGCAGAAGCTGAGCTGAGGGTTCGTCACTGCCCTGACTGCTGCTGGTCTGGCATTCGCCTGGATGCAGCGCTGACTCTGGCCATATTTTGTTCCCTTCCGGCCCGTTTCCTTTGGCTCTGACTTAGTCCGCAGCTGCAAGGCCCCCTTGCCCTGGCTGCTCGTCTCCTGGGACTCTTGAGCTTCGCTGTCCCGGCAAGAGCTGCCTCGGTCCCCTCCCGATGGTTCACTTTCGCGGCTCCGAGCCTCTCGGCGGCCGGGCTGAACCAAGGGTCCCTGCCCTTTTCCTTTCCTCTTGCGGCGACTGCGGCGCTGGGCTGTACCCTCTTCTTTCGGTAGACTCTCCTCATCCTGGCGCTCCCCACGGCTGTCCCCTGGTCGGTGACTCTCCAAGGGCACGGATCCCCTATGCCGCGTGCTGCCTTGCCTCTCCTGTGCCTCCGGTGGCGGCTCAGCACCTGGCTTTCTGCAGCCACCGTTCCCGTCTGTGGCCGGCTTCCTGTGGCCACTAGCGAGTCTCTTGCCCCCTGCGGTGTCGGGCTCCTTGGAGGGTCTCGCCCGGAGGGCTTTGCCGCGGCCAGGTCGGTGGTCCTGGCTAAGTGCGCTATCAGCACTAGCCGATCCGGACTCCTGCTCCCCTGAGGCTGGCCTCCCAGGTCTCGCCCTGCGCTGGGGCGCTTTGTTCTTGCTCCCACCCATAACAGTCCCAGAGATGACAGGCTTCACACTTCTCAAGTTCTTTTTCCTTTTAGGGGTCTGACTGCTTCAGGGTGCCCTTGGGCTGCAGCAGCATACCACCCAGCTGTGTTCTGGAGAGGCTAAGGGCTCTCCATTTAGAGCATCAATAATGCAGGAGACAATAAGTCCTGACCCCTTCAGCCAACAATGGAGCAGAAGCACCTGTGAAAGAGGAGACTCTGTGGATTAAGGCCATGGACAGGGCAACCTTGCTGGGACTCGCTCCCAGCCAGGCTAGCCTGGCACCATGCCAGACTGAGGGGCCCACCTTTGCTTCTGCCTGTTTGCTCGCCTGGCTGGGGAGGGCAGAGTGAAACTGTGTGGGGCTTCCTACTTCTCCTGGGTCTGGGAGGCTGGGACCAGGTGACCCTGGTATGCAGGGAATGCTCCATGAGTATTATTAGTTTGTTCTTTTCCATTGTGAACTATAATTTATCCAGAATTGCACTTTGAATGGTGCATCTTGAACTGGTATAAAACAGATGGCTGTGTACCCTCTTATAGTTATGAAACAAAACCAGACCCCATAAATCCCCAATTAAATCTCCCTCTCTCCTTCCTTTCTTCCTTCTTTCTTTCTTTCCTTCCTTCCTTCCTCCCTTCCTCCTCCTCCTCCTTATTCTTTCTTTCTTTCTTATGGTTCTGGAGATGGAACTCAGGGCCTTGTACATGCTAGGCAAGTACTCTACCTCTGAGATAGAGATCTATCCCCTCACCACCCCCAATAAATATTAACATTTATTTTGGAATAGGAAATACATTTTCATAGTTCAAAATTCACAAAAGTCCCATTCCTGACCCTCAGCTATTCAATTTCCCCTTGAGGTTTCCCATTTTCCAGAGTTATCCATTCAGATAAAAATGAATCTTTATTTCCTTTTAGCAAAAGTGGAATCTTATCTCACTACTTTTTTTTCACCTAACAATTTCATTTGGAGATTTTATAATACATAGAAAACTTCCCTCTCTCCTCACTCCCTTGTTTTTAAATTGCATGGTAATCCAGCAAATTAATGCACCATCATTTAACCAACTTCTTGGTATGTATCTATATACCTATAGGTACATATAATTGTGTGTGTTTGTGTGTGTGTGTGTGGTGGGGGGGGGGGGGTTGCTGGGGATTCAACCCAGGAGCATTCTGCTTCTGAGCTCTATAACCCCAGACTTTTTAAAAATTTTGAGACAAGAGTCTCACGAAGTTACCCAAGCAGGCCTGGATCTTGCCATCCTACTGCCTCAGCCTCCTCAGTAGTTGGGGTTACAGACGTGAGCTACTTCACCCAGCTATTGATAGATGAGGATGCTGCCTCATCTCATCCTTTGCTTAAATTAAAAAAAAAAAAGATGGAATTTCATCAGTATTCAAGTAGGAATAATTCCTAGAAGTAGATTTGATAGACCGTAGGCTATATGTGTTTGTAATTTTGAAGATTTCCAAACATTATGGTTTGGTCATAAGGTGTTCCCCAAAGTTCCTGTTAATGCAGAAGTGTTGAGAGATGAAATGATCGGATGGTGAGAGGTGTAACCTAATCAGTCTGTCTTAGTTTGGGTGGTAACTGCAGGCAGGTAAACTGTGGCTGGAGGAGGTGGTAACCAGGGCGTGCCCTGGAAGGGTGCGTCTTCCGTGGCCCCTTACCAGTGGCCCCCTCTTCGGCTTCCTCACTGCCATGAGCTGAGCAGCTTCCCTCTGCTGTGCCCTCCCCCCATGATGTGCAGCCTCACTTTCTGCCAGACCAATGGAGCCAGAGTCTATGGACTGAGACCTCTGAAACCATGAGCCCACAATAAACTTTCCCTCCTCTAAGTTGTTCTTGTCAGGTAGTTTGGTTACAGTGACACAAAAGCTGACTAAAACACCAAGATTTTCCCTCATGGAGATTGTATTAATATACATTCCCACCAGTAAAACAGAACAGGTGTCTCTGCATAGTATTAATACAGGGTGGTGTCCAACACACTGAAACAAATAAAAAATAAAATATAAATAAATAAGAAATTAAGTTTAATTAATTTAATAAATTAAATAAAACTAATAATAAATTATAAATAAATAAATAATAAAATGAGTAAAATAATATAAAATTTATTTTAAAATTTTAAATAAAATATGGGCTGGGGTTGTGGCTCAGTGGTAGAGCACTCACCTAGCACGGGTGAGGCACTCAGTTTAATCCTCAGCACCACATAAAAATAAATAAGTAAAGGTATTGTGTCCATCTACCACTAAAAAATATTTTAAAAATCTAAAATAAAAAAGAAAAGTGGTACCAACACTCTGAAACAAAATCCCAATGCCTTAAATTCATTTTTCTATGGGAAAAAAAGCAGACTTCCCTCCTCTTAGAGACACTATGATCCTTTGAGACCTGTCTTTTTTCATCTTTGGGGGGTCTTCCTCTAGGACACAGGGTAGGGAGTCTGCTTCTTGATGGCTACACTGTAGTTCAACCCAGTCAGGATTCCCGAGGTCACCGGAAGTTTCCTGGGACATAGCAGCTGCTGCAAGAGCAGGTTCTGGGGCCCCAAGATGGAGCCAGCTGAGTTGTTGAGCCAAGGCCCAGGACCTGCCCCCTCAGGGACTCCTGTGTCCCACTGACCCATCTTGCTCTGGCCTCTGTTCACCAGCAGCACCACCTAGTCCTGGAGCAGGGGAGGAACATTCCAGACTGCAGCACTTTCCCTTAAATGCCTGCCTGACATCTGTTTCTGCATATCCCCTTGAAGGAGCCTCAGAGGCAGCACAGCAGTCTCACTCAGAACGCCCCGAGGGCCACTCGGCCCAGAGGCCTGGTTAAGCAGAGTTGAAAGTGACTCATCCAGTGCTGTGTGCATCTCCAGGAGTCAGCTGTCCCCGGAAACCACAAGCTCATGGGTAACAGCTGTGTCTGGAGACAGCTCTAAGCTGCACCCCCCACCATCAATGCTGCCAGGTAAACGGGCAGTGGTATTCAGAGAGCTTGAATCTCCCACACAAAGCAGAATGTGGGGTGAGAGAGGTATTTATTTACACAACGGTTCACTGCACAGCATTGAGAACCCTCTACAACCACAAGCAACGTGGATAATCTCAAAAATGCTGAGTGAAAGTAGCTGTGCATGAAAGAGTATCTGCTGCGTGATTCCATTTATTGATAGTGCAAAAGCAGGCAGTGTGATTGAGAGTTTGCCCTGGGATGTGGGGGATGCTGTTTAGCACGGGGGAGGGTGTCAAGCTGTGCTCCTTTGACTTCTGCACTACCAGCACCTATTTTATAAAGATAATTCAGGGCTGGGCACAGTGGTGCACATCTGTAATCCCAGCTACTCAGGAGGCTGAGGCAGGAGGACTGTAAATTGAAGGCCAACCTAGGCAACTTAGAGACCCTGTCTCAAAGTAAGTAACTAAAAGGGTTGGGGTGTAGCTCAGTGGCAGGGCACCCTGAGTTTAATCATCAGTACTGCAAAAACCAATCTAGGAAACAAACCAGAAAGAGCTCGCTCACTGCTCTGCCCTGGGCAAACATGAATAATTGCAAAAAGCTAGCACTTTAGGGCTTATGATACACCAGGCACTGTTCTAAGTGCTTTACTATGAAGTCATTGTATCCTTGAAAGCACACTGGTAGGTGCTATAAAGATGCCCATTTATGGAGGAGACCACTGAGACACACAGCCAGTCAGTGTCAGAGATAGACCGCCAACCCAGGCAGTCTGGCTCTAAAGGCCCAGCTGGAGAATGGGTGTGAGGTGCTGGCATCAGCCACAAAGCTCTGGTAGCTAGCTATGTGACCCTATTTCAATGCGTCCTGTTCTTGGAGAACAGAGAGCTATGTCCCCCTTCAATCTTCTACCTGCTTGGTGACGTTAGGTGACTTCCTCTCTTCCTGTTGACTCAGGCCAGGACTTGGATCACTCAAGGATCAACCTGGGTATTCTTTCTTTCTTTTTTTTTTTTTTTTAATTTTTCTTTCTTTTTCTTGCTGGAGATGGAACCCAGGGCATCATGCATGGTAGGCACACATGCTACCACTGAACTACATCCCCAGCCCTCCCTCACACTGGGAACTCCTCCAGCGGCTGTGTTCTGAGCTCTCTGTGACTCCATTTCTCACGTCTTCCCTTGGGGAGCCAAATCCTTCTCTGATGGCCTCACCCACTATTCACTTACTCTGACCTCCTTGGCTTGGGTGTTTACGAGGAGCTAGGTGCTGTGTGTTCTTACAGGCTCTCATTTAGTCTTTACAACCTTCCGAGACAGGTCCTTCTATTATCCCCCATTTTATATATAAATTAAGGCACAGGAGGTCATCTGCCCAAGGTCACAGGGCCAGTCACAGACCAAGCCAGTGTTCAAGAGCTGGATCTGCCAAACTTCAAAGTCAAAGTGGACACCAAGCCTCCCACCTGTTTGGATGCCTGAAACCCTCAGATCTAAGTTGAGAACCCTGAATCCAGTTTCCTATGGTACATCTCCATGACCTCTGGAGCCAGCACCTCCCATCTGCTGGCTTCTCCACAAGGCAGCGACACTTGTCGACCTTTGAATGCCTCAATTTGCTCCCTATCACCTCTCCTGTGGACTGCTAGAAGGACCCCTGACTCCTCTCCCTGTGCCAGCCTAGCTTCCTCCAATTCGCTTGCTAGAGGACCAGCTGCTTCTGTTTGCTCATGCCTGGCAACAGAAACCATTCACCTCACATCCCAGCATGAGGATGCCTTAGAACTGAAAGAAACCTGCCCATGTCAGCTAGCACTTGAGCGCACTGGGTACTTAGGCAAGGCTCCAGTTAGTGAGCGCGGAGGTAAGCCTGTTTTTAAAGTCTTCCTGGTATTTGCAGGGGTGTGTGTTTTCTTTTTTCAAGACAGGGTCTTATTACATTGCCCAGGCTGGCCTTAAATTCCTCGGCTGACACAATTCTCCTGCTCCAGACTCTTGAGTAGGTAGAACTACAGGTGCTACCATCAAGCTAGGCTCG